CGTCCAGGCCACTTCAATGTACGATGGGTGTACCTCAAGGCTCAATACTTGGGCCTATATTTTTCATTATATTTGTAAGTGACCTAAACACGTTTTGTTCAATGCCAGATAAAATTGTTCAGTATGCTGATGATACCAATATTCTCATGTCTCACAGTGAACCCAAACAACTGGTGGAAAATACCAATGTTGTGTCTGCTGAATTTAGCACATATTGTAAAAATAATGGACTCAAGCTCAACGTAACAAAAACACATTTTATGCGTTTCTTACCAAAAAACTTAACTCCAAATTCTGACTTTTATTTACATGTGGATGGCAAATCAATAAAAAGTTATACTACAACGAAATTTTTGGGGGTAACCCTAGATCATAAACTTACATGGGAAACTCATGTAAATCATGTATCAGCAAAGTTAAGTACATGTAGATATAATCCGTAATTTAAGAGAAACTGTCTCATTTGATATATTGCGAATGATTTACTTTAGTTTAGTCCAGTCTGTACTTCAGTATGGCTTAATATTTTGGGGTTGCTCATCTCATTTTGAACGGGCATTTATAGCTCAAAAGAAAGTTTTAAGAAGTATATATGGTGTTCCATTTTCAGATAGTTGCAAGCCACTATTTAAGAAGTCTAATATTTTAACACTACCTAGCCTTTTAATTTTCCAATTAATATTGCACATTGAGGAAAACTAGCTCAAGTTTGTCAGAAATGAGGACATTCACTCACATGATACCAGGGGTAAATCAAATTTACGACAACCTTTCTCTAGATTAGGTGTATCCCAACATGCACCTGAATATATTGGAATAAAATGTTACAATAAAATAGTCAATATATTAACTCTCAGTAATTCTTCACATAAAGGTTTTCGCCAAACTGTGTATTCGTTTTTAATGGACAACACATTCTACAGTGTTGATGGATTTTTAAATTTTTAACATTTTTGCAACAATAGTTCTAAATTTGTATTCGTAACTTGTATTTGTAACTTTTATTTCTTATTTATTTTATTGTAATAACTGTTTTATTTTAATCATGTGTACTTTTGCTATATATTGTACTCTTTTGTACTAAAATTTTGACTAGTCTGATAAGATTTATACATTTTTTTTTCTTGTAAAAATTGTGTAAACTTTGTGGATGAATAAAATTCTATCTATCTATCTATCTAAGCTTAATGTTATTTATTAACTTATAATTATGAGAAAATATGGCATTGAATAAAAGTCTGAGAAGAATCTTCGTAAAATCACCCAGAATATAATTATTTACCTTGCAGGCAATTGTGCAGGTGTTTTAAGTAAGTTTTTAGAAACACAACTCAATGACTTCCTGCACATATAATTGACTGGATTTTCCAAGTGACCCATATCTTTAGTGTGCCCATAATGGTTTTTGAAAAATGTTACCACTATCAAATTTGTTCTTAAATTATTTACAACTAATATCTGGCTAGTACATGATGGAGATGCAACAACTTCTTGACTGATACATGAATTATCTGAATCTTCATCATTTGATATGGAATCTTTTATCTGTTTGCAGTCATAATGGGTAACCAACAAGTATTCGTTGTCTTGCAGTTCACATGTTTTGATATATTTACGTCTTGGATCTCTATTTATATTCTCCATCCATTTTAGAAATTCTAAAAGAAATTGAGGTTAATCTAAGTACCTATTAAAATAAATCTCATACAATAGCAAAACTGACGAATTTAAGATGAAATCAAAAGCATAGTCATTAATCTATTTTCAAAATGTAAAGTGTTCATTTGAGAAATTACAAATAAAATAAAAAATAATCCTAATAATATACTTTTAGTATTACCATTCTTCTCATCAAATTCAAAAATTTCTTGGCCTGTTAATATCTTGTGAATTCGGGCTAAGTGCTGTCTTAAATCTTTTACTGTTGGAAATGAAATTAAACATCCATCTAAACATTTATGGTCATGAACATCTATTGGATAAGTTTGGACACGTATAGTACCATGTACTGCATTTCTGTGTGTAATTAAAGCTGACTGAGACGAAAACGGTTTCAAGTTACAATCTTTGCAGTAATACATACTTGTGAAGGAAATTATTGTTTAGAATAAAAATTCTTAACACAAGAAATACATAATATTTTTGTCTTTGGCGTCTGTCTACATTATGATTTATGATCTGTCACACAGATTCTGTCCAAACTTCTGGTTTGGTCAAAACTGAATTCTTCTTTTACACTTTAAAAAATAACATCTAGGTTATATTAAAATATTTCTTTTTGTAAATTTATATGAATAGTCCTTAGTCGTGAGTGAAAAACTTTAAAAGTATTGAGAAAAAGATCAAAAACTAACAAATATTTGAAAAACCAACCAACCAAAAACCAATGAAGAAGAATAATGAAGTTAGATCATAGTAAATACAAAATGGTTGAAGCTAGTCATAGTACATAAAAAAATAGTCAGATGTCAGATGAGGCGGATATTTATTTTTAAACTGACGTTTACTATCAGACTACCCTCCTATGTTTACTATTTACTAATAATATTTGTAATCAATATATTTGCCTGAATAAAAAACTCGTATCTGTAAAATCACTTTTAACATGACCGCAGCAATATTAACAGCAGAATGGTTCCACTTGGGACTTGATGCTTACTACAGGTGTGTAAAAAGATTATAGACTTATTAGAAAACTTTGTATATCTGTTAATATTTGCTTTTAGAAAATTCGATGTATATTCAATGGCCTGGCAGCAAGAAGTAAATTTAGATAACTATGTAGCATCTTCAGCTTCATATGGTGGACCCATTGCAATTAGGAGAGATGATCAAAAATTTTTAAAAGTTCAAGGATCTGGACAGCCCATTATATCCATATTCTCTGGTTCTGGGAAGCAGATTGCATCTTTTAAGGTAATAAAATTATTACATGTGTATTAATCAATTGACAGGACAATGATATTATTATTACATCTAGTGGACAAGAAGACCTATAGTTCATATGGGATGGACAAACGAAGAAGAACTTATTTGTATCCAAGAAGATGGTATGGTTGTTAAACATAACATGTTTGGGAAATATCTTCATACATTCAATATTAGTCAGAAAGTTCAAGATTCCAAAGTTATAGATGCTAAAATATTTACTAGTCCTCAAAACTTCACAGGAGTTGCAGTAATGACTTCAAATTTTAAGATATTTATTGTGAATAACATTGAAGAACCGAAAACTAGACAGTTATCAGAACTACCAAGTAAGTAAATAGATATTTTATTTGTATATGTTTTAAATTATGAGTTGTTCATATTTTGTATTAAAGGACCTAGATAAACATTAAGTAGTATCAATACACATAGATACTCATATTATCATCACTCAGCAAAATTATGAAATCCAACATTGCTGAAAACATTTAATTTTCTTCAGTACCTTCTCATAGCAAGACAGAGGGGAACTAGTTTTTACATTAGTAAAATAGTTGGAGTTTTTTTATTTTTGTGCTAACAGTCGTTTTTGATAGTTTATATTCAGATACTAAAAATGTTTAAATATACACTACCGACCATAAAATTAGGGTCACCGGTAATTTGAATTTATTTTAGAAATTATTACAACTAGATTACAATTATTTTCGGTTGTAACATAGTATACTAAAAGATTTCTTAAAGAAAACAACATTTTTGTCATTTAACGTTTATTAAAAATATTGGAAATGAAGAATTTTCCTTTGATATGCTGAATATTGAAAAGGGACAATTTTAATTTGATGTGCTTTTTGCTGAAAAAAAGAAATTTTAAGAACTTCAGTAGGGAGTATTCCCTCCTCTCAGTGTCCTGGCATATCTCTCGCCTGGACGTCGCCACACTCTTACACATTTGTCTGAGCCCGTAAGACAGAATCTCGATTTATCGGAAAACAATACAGGATTCCAATCCTGCATTGTCCAAGCCAAGTGTTGCTTGTGCAAAATTCAATCTGGCAAGTCGGTGTTCACGGGAAAGCGGCGGTCCAGTTACTCTAGTTCGAGAAGATAAACCAGCAGCATGAAGTTGTCTCCTAACTGTCCATTCACTTATGTTTACATTTCTAACTTCTTGCAGATGGTTTCGAAGAGAAAATGCTGTGACTGTTGGGCTTCTCAAAGCACTAGAAACGACAAAGCGGTCATCTCTAGCTGTTGTAATCCTGCCTCGACTTGAACTAGGTCTTTGAGTAAGCAGACCGGTCTTCTTCCGTTGCCATACTCGTTGCACACTCGAGAGACTTACACCAACATTTCTCGCAGTTTTGCGCTGACCTTGGCCATCTTCTAACGCCGCCAATTCTTGCGCCACAACAGAATTTATGCTCATTGCAATACACTGACAGTGATAACAATACACAAACAATTTACAATTGATGTTAAAACCATAGAAATAAAAACTGTGCTGATAACGGTTTTTAGGAATTAGGCTAAGGGTCCCTTTTTATCTCGAAACACCTAGTTCCTCAATCATCCAAAAAAAAAACAGTGTGACACTTGGTTGCTTTCATACACAACTGATCAAGATGCTGTTGTGTTTAAATTTAATTTAAACATTGCAAAAGAAAACAGTTTGAGAAACTCTTTGGATATTTTAGGATCAGGAGTACAACCAACAAGTTGGACTGTGGTTTCAGAAGACACAACAGAAATCTTAGTAGCTAGAGAATATGAACTATACAGGTTAAAGCAAGATGAACATCATACTAGTGCTATAGTAAGTATTTATTTATTGTGCAGACTATATCGATATAGAAGAATTCTTTACTATAGTTCATAAATATTTCAATATTAACAATTTCTATTACAGTTGGAACCTGACATAACCAACAAGTACACATCAATAATAAAAATGTCAGTATCTTTAAATGCTCGCCATTTGGCTTTATTTACAGATTCTGGATATCTGTGGCTGGGATCTACTGATCTAAGGACAAAATATTGTGAAGTTGATTGTGATAATGTGCACAGGCCAAAACAACTTCTTTGGTAAGATTAAGTTAATTAAGAGAAGAAATTTGAAGCAAATGCATGCTAATTATTTGAATTTAACTGTTTTATTATCATTGGAGGTTATCAATCATTATTCAATCTTTTCTTTATTTTTAACTATTAATTTTAACATTAATAATGTTTTTTTACTGTATAAATGTTGTTTCTTAATGTCGTAGGTGTGGTAATGAAGCTGTTGTGCTTTATTGGGAGAAAGACACTTTTCTTGCAGGTGGTGAAAAGGAGAATATTTTTCTCGTTGTTGGAAAACATGGAGAAAAAGTAAATTTTTTCTATGACAGCTCTATATTTCTAGTTCCAGAAATAGATGGCATCAGAATAGTATCTAACACTCAGCATGAGCTGTTGCAGAAAGTCCCCGAGAGTGTTCAGAAAATTTATAGAATAAACAGTACAGAACCTGGTAGCTTCTTGCTTGAAGCTTCAAAACAATTTCAGGTAAGCAATGAATTTTTTTTTTTTTTTGATAGTAACTGATAGTGAATGGCAAAAATTGAAGCTAATAAAATTGGGGAAATACAAAAATTTCGAGACAAGTGTTATTTTATTAATGTTATTTTATTTTCAGAGGGGCAGTCATAAAGCAAATGAATATATTTGTCTAGTAAAAAATGATTTAGAAATAGCTGTAAATCAATGCATAGAAGCAGTAGGCTATGAATTTGACACTGAAATTCAGCAAATGCTTATAAGAGTAAGTTTGTTTATATTGATATGGCGATGATTATTATGTTGTATTAATATTTTCAAATTTTAATAAAGGAGGATTAAAAATTTATTTTGTTTTAGGCTGCCCAATTTGGCAAATGTTTTATACCAGATGCCAGATCAGATATTTACGTTAATATGTGCAGACTTTTGAGAGTTTTGAATGCTGTAAGAGATCCTAAAGTAGGAATACCCATAACCATTACTCAGTATCCTTTTATTTTATATTATATATATTCATATATATAATGAGTTTATACTGATATACATACCACTATTTAAATAAGGCTTTCCCAGATTATTGGGTTTGGTGTGGTTTATTATTATGTTTTCCCCGACCATCCACGTTGGGTACAGGAGTACCTGAAGCTAATTGCGATACAATATTATTTATTCTACCTCTAGATCAGTGAAGACCATGAACGGACATAATTCGGATTGTTTCTTATTGACAGTATTTCCTGTGTATTTTCTTCCAGACATGCTCTTTTAGTTTTTTTTTTTTTTTGGATAATGTTCATTTTTATTACAAATTTTAATGCATCCAAATATTATGAATATAAAAGGAACTAAGATTCCAGAATTGTGTAAAAACAATTTCTCGATTTTTGTTAAGTTTTGTTGCACATCGCGTTGAAGAAAGGCAAGGTCGAGTTTCCCATCACTTTGTTTGTACTTTCATTATAATACTCCTGTCCCTTATTACTTTTCTTTGATTTCTTTTGTGTTCATATGATTTTCGTTTTCGCCAACTGGATGATTTTTTTTTAATTTTCGCATTATGTTTTCTAGATTATTGCGTTTGGAAATATTCTCACTCGAAACATTTTCCGAATCATCCTGAAAAAAAAAGATTATTTTCAATATGCTATATAATGAAAATCGGCACTAAATTCTACATGATAAGGTTATTATTTTTCTTTTTATTAGTTTTACAAATTCGCACAATAAAAACGGAAAATGTAAAATAATTATTAAAATATTTAAAGGTAGAATATGATACCACGCTTAAAAAAAATATGCTTACTATTGAATCTGGATCATAATTTCGATTTTAATCATCATCTAATGGTGGATCACTATGTCCATCATTATTGCTATTAGGACTATCTAGTTCATCCATATTGTTAAAAGCGGGTAGGCGGCGGCCATATTAGAAAGTGGCTTGTCACTATCTGCATAAAATATTTCACAGAAACACCACTGTGCAATATGATAATATTGCCATCTGTGATTTTATTGCGAAACTACTTACCCTATCATAAAAAAGTTTTCTTTAACATAATATATCTTAGGCTGAATTACATGAAGAGAAGAAAACAGGGCATTTTGAAAAGACTAATAACTAGGAATTATTATTATTTAGCTCTCCAAATCGCAAAGTATCTTAAGCTGCCGGAGAAAGAAGGTACCAGTTATATTTTAGTACATTGGGCCAAGTATAAGGTAAATTTTGCTGAATACGTATAATAAATAAATATGTAAAAAACTAAAAAATAATTGGGGTTTGCTTAATAAAAAATGTTTGTAACGTCATCCGTTTTCAAGATACAGGGCGCTGAAGAAAAAAAATTTTACGCATTTTTTACGATTTTGCCGAAACTACTGGCAACATTGTAATGAAATTTTATATGAATATGTTTTGGAAGCTGATACATCCTATAAATTTGTTTTTATATCTGATTCTCATAGAGGACGCTAGTTACACGGATCGTACTAAGTATTAGTCAATATAACTTTTTTAAGACTATAATTATCAATCAAAATTTCAAGTAAACTTAAACGTCATTCAATTTTACACGAAAAATGTACTCTTGGTAAAACTCGATACTGTGTGCCGTTTTCGGAATATTTTGATCTGAAAATTATGAAGTAATAATTGATGCTGGTAGTAATGATAAAGTTCTAATAGGTATACTTCTATTTTCTCCAAGTGTGCCATGGAAATCTGACATTTATTGATTGTTATGACGATAAATCAACAATAATTAGAGTTTTGAAACCTTGGTAGTGTAAGAAAGCTGTGTAGCTTCGTATAAAATTTCATTACAATGTTGCCGGTAGTTTCGGCAAAATCATAAAAAATGCGTAATTTTTTTTCTTCAACGCCCTGTATCTTGAAAACGGATGGCGTTACAAAATTTTTTTACTAAGCAAACCCCAATTATTTTTCAGTTTTTTACCTACCCTAGAGACGGGGTTACCTTTTTTGAAACACTCTGTATAATAACTAATCCCAATCAATGACATACGTTTTAGAATCATCTCGAATTTAACATAATTTAAATTATATTTTTGCCTAATTTTGAATAATTTTTGTATTGTTAAAGGTTAGTCAGTCCCATCTCGAGGAAGAAACCGTAGCGAGAGAAATTGCAGACAAATTAGGGTATTCATCGGGCATTTCTTACAGTGAAATTGCCAGTACGGCATCTGAGTACGGACGAAAGAAACTAGCGATAAAGGTAAACGAAATTTACTTTCCGGTAAAAATACGTCACGTTGCCATTAAACGAATCGAACCAATTAATTTTGAAAATAATAAACTTATTTTGTTTTAATTTAAATTAAATTTTGTTTTTGTAAAATGCTGAGGCTAGCGCCACGAGGAGTGTCATTACTCTCGATTAATTATTCGTTTTTAGTCATCATATATTTATTCTAAGCAGTTTTAAATGAAAAACTGCATGAAAAATAACAAAATACAGACAAATGGGAAATAAAAAATTAAAAGAATATCTGTCCAAGACAAAAAGATTCCATTCGTGACGATTATAAAAATTTTAAAGTCATAAATAGCATCAAATTAATAACAATATTGAATCATCTGTTTAAGCCTTTATGACACTTTTCGGTTTAAAATACTTTCATATAAATACAATTATTATTTTTAAACATCTTATTTAGTCAATATAATATATAGAATAAATTTTCTATCAAATAATATTAATTTATATTTGATAATTATTAATTTAACATTTCGTTTTTTTATTAAAAATTAATGAATGAAAATAATTTCTATCCATGTGCGATCGGTACTTACCGGAGGGACCGCAGACGTTCGGATACAATTAGCGTCTCTTAGCAAAGACAATGACGTCGACTTTGCTAAGTATCAAGACAATTACTCTACACATACACACACACACACACTACACTACACTAGGTACCTGACTGTACCATGCCAATGATCATAGTTGTCGAGGCATTAACTCAATAAAAAAAAATATTTCGTTTGAATTTGACAGGTCTGTCAGAAGTAAACAATTTATGCTTTGTTAATACTTTAGCTAGTAGCGTTAGGAGCGAACATAATAATATATTGAATTATTTATTATACATAATATAATTTGTTTTAAAGTAATTACTATTTAAATGGGAATAAGCCACAATTAAAGGTTACAGTACGTTTATTGACGTACGCCTATGTACCTATTTTTTGCCGTTAAAGTACGCCTATGTACCATCTTTCTTCTCATTACTAGGGCGATTTTCCGAAAATTACTACATTGTAACAAATTAGTTCACGGCAACAATTTAAAAGGGGGATAACATGTACAGTTTTACCGGTTTAGAATCATGATGTTGGTTAAACAAAGTCATCACAACTTAAAAAATACATTTTTTAGCTTCTTGATTACGAATCCAAAGCAAGTGATCAGGTGAAATTGCTCTTAGAATTAGGAGAGAACACCCCAGCGTTGGTTAAGGCTATAGAAAGTGGCGACACCGATTTAGTTTATATGGTTATCTTGAAGTTAAGAGAAAAAATGCCTCTGGGAGATTTTAAGGTGAGTTTTTGTCGAAAGTGTAATCAAATAATGAATTTACTAAGTACCTATTCTATAATTACATATAGTTTCTATTTGTCTTGGTCAGTGTCAATTAACGTTGTTGCAGATTAAATTTTAGAGAACAAAAATAAAAGCACAACGTAAATTTTAGAACTTTTAATGCATCGAACAACATTTTTGAATTTGCTAATTATAAAAAATATTGTATAACGTAATGAAAACTATTGATTAAACGGATAATAATAAATTTAAAAAAAAACTGCATAGATTATGTAATATTCAAAAAATGTAAAAGTTTACCACTGAGTTGCATCCCCTTTATTTTTAATGACATCCATAATTCTTCAGCTTTACAATATGCATATGCATATAGTAGCCTCGTATTTCCGTGAGACTGTGCAAAAATATATGTATCTGTAATAAAATCATTCAACAAAAAGGTACTCTACCAGGAGTCTGTAAAATTATCAATGACTCAGACGTATAATAATACAAAGTTTCCAGATTCCATTCGATATTAACATTCAGACGTGCCTGGTATAATCTTTTAAAATATGAACCAGATATGAACAATCAACCAATTAAGTTTTCATCGAACTTATGACAAGTCCACGTGGACTAACGGCCAATGAAAACATCGGATATCGCTGTTATGACAAATCATAATGCATTATCTTTTGTCGGTAAACTTATTCATACTTGGGGTAAGATTATATCAGTATTTGACTGAGCTTACGGAGTCATAAAATAAGGGATCAGGTTTCGACCATCCAGTGCCGAAGGCACGGTACGGGGAAAACTTAGGTAGGCAAATTTTTATAATATTTTATTTTTAAATTGCGGAGATGACCAACACATTTTTGGGAGACAAGAATATTTTTAGTAAAATAGATCAAATTTTTAGTGAACGCAGTTAGTTTGGTAGTGACTTTTTTCAGTGTTCTTTATACGGAAAACATTTTATATTTTACGTTTTTTACTTCTTTTGATACGTTTTTGCGTGATTATGTTTTTATACGTTTGATATTTTTAAAATATTGCGTCCGTGGTGCGATAATAATTATGTAGCTGAAGAGACAATGGAACCCTCTAATCGATTGGAAGATTTACAAAGGCGTGTAGTAAAACGTAAGCGACATTTTCAATACCTTTCTGATGATGCCAAACGTATGCTAAAAAATGTTTATGAAGGAATGTGTGCTGAATTGTCTAATTCAGAAGCAATTGCAGAAACATGTTTTTTAACCAGAGTGCCCAAAGCAACCCACTACAAAATTATAGGAGAAACATCTTCTTCTAGACAGAAGAGAAAGGATTGTGGCAAATTCAGAAAAATAGAACCGCACTTAATTGAATCTATAACTAGAACAATATACCAAATGTATGCGGCTAATATTTTTCCAACTATTGAAAGCCTTCGAAGTGAATTAGTTCGAAAGTGCATTCTATCGTGTTCAGCAACAACACTTTCGATTTATTTCTTAAAGCCAATAATTTTAAGTACAAAACTATAGACAAGAGACAGACATTAATGGAAAGTACTAGAATAATTTCTTTAAGAAACAATTATATCAGACAGATAACTGAGTATCGAAAAATGAAACGAAATATTGTTTATTTAGATGAGACCTGGTATGATACTCATGACACCGTGAAAAAAAAGTTGGACAAATAATAACAAAAAGTGTTTCAACTCAGTACCGCCCAATAAAAGAAAGAGAATTATAATTTTACACTGCGGTGGAGAAAATGGATGGGTCGACGATGCATTATTAATATCTGCAAAACAAATTAAAAACGTGTCTCTGGATTATCATGACGATATGGAAAGTTCAATTTTTGAATCATGGTTTGAAAAATGTCTTCTTCCGAAGTTACTTAAAGATAGTGTGATTGTCATGGACAACGCATCATATCATTTAAGATTAATGAAAAAAACTTCAAATAATAGTTGGAATAAATTAAAAATTCAGGATTTTTTATTCACGGAAGATTTGTATTTTGAGACATCTTATATTAAAAAGCAATTGTTGGAGGTTGTTCATAGTAAACAGTACGAAAAGGAATATGTTGTTGACAACTGTGCTCGTAGTAACGGGCATACTGTGTTTAGACTTCCTCCTTATTATTGTACATTGAACCCAATAGAGTTAATATGGGCTCAACTTAAAGGAAATATAATGAGAAGAAACGTTGCTCCAAAATTTTTTGTCTACTGTTCTCCAGTTAATTAGAAGAGAAGTCACAAAAATTACAGCAACCAACTGGAAAAATGTAATAAAAATAAAACATGTGATCGGAGTGAAAAATAACTATGTTAAATATTTACCAGCAATAACCAAATTACATATAAATTTAGATGATATGAGTGATACTAGTGATAACAGCGATTCTGAGTAGATAGTAAGTACTTATTAGGTGTTAGTTGAAACCTTTATTTCTATTTTAATTGTAGATATTCTCATTTTGCTTATATATCTTTGAAAACAGGGTATAAACACACTTCTTGATAGGACAAAAATTATTAATGTTTTAGGGGAGGATGTCAACTGAAACTGTCACTGTCATTCTCGCTGAATAACTACTATTATTAACAATGTTTTATATAGATATTATTATTTTACAATAAGTTCTGTACAGTCGAGTCGATTAGTGTTATCACTCCCAAGAGATATCACAAAAGTTAAAAACACCGATATTTTTTATTTAAACTTTATAGAGAATTAAACTTTTTGGTAAATAAAATTAAATAAAAGTAAAAACTTTTATTTAATTTAAAATTAGATATCTACGCTACTGTTCTACTACTATTTACTCCATAAAAGGAGTGGTAACTCTAACAGCGTTGCCATTTTATTAGTATTTTGCTTGTTTTGGTCTCTGTAAAATTTTCTCACGAAATTACGTGCCGACTATAATTTTGCAGCTTTAAAGGAAATGAAGAACCATCGGTCGTCTGGTGATAATGGACTCGTTATCGAGGCAATAAAAGCAGGAGAAGAAATTCTATTAAAATCAGTAAGCGGACTGTTTAATAAATGCTTACATGCGGGTACGATTCCAAAAGACTGGAACAATGCAGTAATAGTCTTGTTACACAAAAAGGCGATATTACCAAATTAGAAAATTATATCAGCCTCTTGATACATATGTACAAACTCTTTATGAAAATCTTAACAAAGAGACTAAGGCCGTCCGCACATGGGTCGACGCTCGAACTGGTCGACACCGCCAATGTTCCTTCGCTGTTGCATTGAGTTCCACAGACGGGGCGATTAGTGGTCGTCTAGAATTGCAAATCTCCTCTTGTACGACTCTCGTCACATGCGATTGGTAGCGCAGAGAGACATACGTTTTCAGTCATGGGGATTATTGTATTTGTTTTCTTCGATTTTCATTGTTTTTTTTTTGAATTTCTTGAAATTCTGTTTGAAATTGAATTTCTGTTTCTAGGTGTTTAATATAAAATTCGTTGGAGAAGTGTAAAAATACCCTCAATTGTATAATTATACAGTGAAAGGATATGCCAATATGGATATATAAAAAATGCGTTCTTCCTGGTTGACAGATGTGAGCAAACAGCAAACTGAATCGACTAGTGTGCGGTGAACAATCGCTCATACCGCAGGATTCGCATAAGACGAGCACAACGCATGAACTTAGACGCGTGCCTTCGATCGACCAATGTGCGGACGGTCTTACACCTTAACTTGATTTCTATCTGCCCAAAGAACAGGCAGGCTTCAGGGCAGGATATGGCACAAATGACCATTTGCATACCATAAAGATCTTAATAGAAAAGTACATCAAATACAAGATACCACTGGTTCTTGCATTTGTCGATTACGAGAAGGCTTTTGATTTTGTTGAGTTTGAAACAGTACTGGAAGCCCTAAATCAAGGCCGAATAGATTACAGGTACACGACACTACGTTACCCTAATATTACAAGGTTCTATGTAACATTTTTTACTAAATTAAGTTTTCAATATTACAAAGTTCTATGTGACTAGCACTACATCACAATTTGTATGGAAATTAGTTTGCTCACATACAACTCTGGTAATATTAAAAAAACCAAGGGTGTATGTACAAAATTATGCTTTATATGAATAGCAAAGTTCTATGGTAAACATAGAACTTTGGAATTTAAAATTTGATTAAAATCTAAATATTACATGGTTCTATGTTGTAACATACAACCTTGTTATTGTATTTTTTGTAAAAGTGAGGTTATGTTCCTGTATTTATAATACAAATCGCAAGCGTTTTCGAGAGTGTTATTTGTGTCTAGAATTTAAAAAAATGAGTAATTTAAGTGATGACTATGTCCAAGACTCTGATGATGATGAGGATTACGTATTACCAGTTCAAAAATCATCGAAGATGAAAGAATGCAGGTAAGATTTTTCTATATCTTATATTGTGAGGTTAGGTTTTTATTTTTTATTTCTTTTTTTACAAAAAGTTCTTTGTTTCAGACTTAAAATTCGTGGACGTGTTATTAATATTCCCGTGTCAAGAAGTAGCAGCGAAAGTGATGACGAAACTAACTCAGAAACGGATTCAAGCAGGTAGGCATGATTTGCTAAACAAAAAAATTAAACAACGTAACATTTTATTAATTTCTTTTTATAATTTAGCTTGTTGTTACTATTTAAAAACTAATTTGTTTTAGAAAAGCTCCTAGTTCGTCTTCCACCTCAATCATTCACACTCCAAAGAATAAAAAGGCCCCAATCATAGTTGTTAGCAATATTAAGATTAAAAATGCATCTAACTCTGGTTCTGGTGACTTGCAGTCTAACTTAAATAGGTAATATTTTTGACAATTATTTTGTTTAACTAAATCGCGAAAACATTTTTTTTTATTTTTATTTTAGAAATGTACCTAGCAGTTCTACAACTTTAGTTCCAGAATTCACCAAGAAAATCCCGTCTTCAGAAGATAACAAAATTAAGATTCTAGAACCAGACCATTCTGATTTCGATGATACAAATAATATTGGACATATTTCCGAAGAAATTTTACTAGAAGAAGCAACTCATAATATAATAAAAGATAAAAAGATATTTACTAGAAAACGACAGAAAAACACTTCTGAATGGACATGTAACAAAAGAAAATCTTTATTTGATCAAGGTCTAGAGTATATTTCTTCTCGAAAAAAGGTAGTACCTGCTAGAAAGATTAGGAATAAAAAAGATTGTGTACAAAAGTGCAGAATGAAGTGCTCGCGTCAAATTAGCGACGAACAAAGGAAGGAAATTTTTAAAAACTATTATTTACTCTCAGCCATCGAAAAGAAAAACTATATTTTGCATACCACAGAAGCTGAGACTCCTTGGAGACGAAGAAAAGGCAAAAATCCAGAAAATTCGAGAAAAAGCAAAAGTTTTAGGTTTTATTTTGAGATAAATAATCAAAAGATCCAAGTTTGCAAGGCTTTTTACACTGGGACTTTATGCATAAGCCAGAAACCAATTTATACGGTGCACAACAATAAAACTTCCACCAAAACCTTACCCGAAAGTAAACAAGGCAAACATCAAAAACGGGTAACATCACTCGAAGATAGTAACTTGGTCAAGGAGCACATTAACATGATTCCAAGAGTGGAATCCCATTACTGTCGCAAAAAAACTAATAAAGAGTATTTAGAAAGCGGATTAAGTATCAAAAAATTGTATGAGCTTTATTTGGATTTTGCTGGAGAATGCAAAAAAAATCCAGTTTCTTTTGCTGTCTACAGAAAAATATTTTGCAACTATTTTAATATAGCTTTTCACAAACCAAGAAAAGATAGATGTGATACCTGCGAAGAAATAAAATTAAGAAAAATGGAGAAGAGGGAAGACGAAGAATCACAACGAAGATATACTGATCATTTGAAAGAGAAAGAGTATATGAGAGAAGAAAAACAAAGAGATAAAGAAAGCGGAATACCTTTATTATGTTTTGATCTGGAAAATGTTTTGACATGTCCAAAAGCAGACATAAAAAATTTCTTTTATAAGAGCAAATTAAATGTGTACAATATGACCGGTCACCTTTCGGTTGGGAAAAAGGTGTATTGTGCCGTGTGGACAGAAGCTTTACATGGAAGAAAGGGAAATGACATTGCAAGCGCAGTTTATAAAATAGTAGGAAAAGTGTTGGAGGACCATCCAGAGTTTACAAAAATCATTTTGTGGAGCGATAGCTGCGTTCCACAGAATCGAAACAGTCTTATGAGTTATGCTCTCAGTTACCTAATTCAAAAACATCAGAATGTGCAAAATATTTCCATGAAATTTTCTGTTCCAGGACATGCTTGTATTCAAGAGGTCGATGCAATCCACAGTGCAATTGAAAGAACGTTGAATAAAGTAGAATATTATTCTCCTATATCACTTCTGCGCTACCTTTTAAAAGTAAACCGACAAAATCCATATACAATAATTCAAATGAAACAAGAACATTTTATAGATTTTCAGTCTTTTTCCAGCCAACTGAACTACAACGCTGTACCATTTTCAAAAGTAGTAGCATTAGAATTTTCTAAATCTTTTTTTGAACTGAAGTATAAAGATACTTTTGATCCAACCAAAGAGCTAAAAACTGTAAATTTACATCAAAGAAAATTACGAAAAGGTCATGTTAAAACCGAAACAGAACCACTCATTCCGCTTCAATTAAAAAAATGTGATAAGGCTGTTGTACTTCCCCAAATAAGATAGATGCCCTACTAAATCTATGTTCAAGTATATCCCTGAAGTTGATAAGGAATACTACGAGTGTATTTTCCTCCAAAAATAAGATTTAATTTGTTTTTTTTTGTAGTTAACAAAGTTCTATGTTAATTTTTTAAATAAGTAAAATTTTCTTGCTATATCAAGGTTCTATGTTTTTTTTTCAAATACCTTTTCTTCTAATACAAAAACCAATTGTTAACAAATCAAAACAATTTGATTTTTATGAAAGCTCATTTTTTTAAATCGATTTTTCTCAAATTAGCAATATTGTTACATACAACCTTGTAATATTAGGGTAACGACTAATCAAAATCATCTACGAGAACGCTACATCAAGTATACGACTACACGAAGACACAGAAAAATTCAGCTTAGGTCGAGGAGTTAGACAAGGAGACAATATTTCACCAAATTGTTCACGGCCAGCTCTAGAGGAACACTCACTGGCAAGATATGGGCACGAATATAGATGAAGAAAGATTATATCATCTAAGTTTGCAGGTGATGTTGTATTAATCGCAGATAACTTACATGATGCAGTTACTATGATATATTCGCTTAAAAGTCTGTCTGAAAGAGCAGGATTAAAGATAAACTTTGGATGAAGCGTGGAACGTGATTGGAAGGATTGAAAAGGGAAGGGAAGATTGGAGATTGGAAGAGCATGGAACGTGCAATGCTGAACGTAAGCCTTCGAGACCACATAACAAACCAACAAATCAGGCAAAGATCAGGAGTTCAAGACGTCATCGAAAGAACCACCACGCTTAAGTGGAACTGGGCAGGGCACTTAGCCAGAACACAAAATGGACGGTGGACAAGACGTATTATGGAATGGAGGCCCAGAAATATAAAAGAAGCCGAGGACGACCACCGTCTAGATGGACCGTTGATATAAAACGTGTAGCGGGAAACTGGCTGCAAGCGGCCCAGTGTAGAGAACACTGGAAAGAACTGAGGGAGGCCTATGTCCAGCAATGGACGCGATTGGCTGATTGATGATGATAATTCTTCGAGGCATAGTTTTTACCAAGTTCTGACAAAATTCTAATGTAAGCAAATCCCATATTTCTTGCAATTTTTCCTTTAATTCATTGACGGACTCGGCAGGATGTTTCCTCAAAGCTTTTTCATTTCGAGCCACGAAGTCTCTATCGGGGACAACTTGGGACTGTTAGAAATTCATTCTAGAAGGGGTATTCTGAAATTTCTGAATTTTTGTGTATATTGATAATTATTCTATAATTTGTTTTAGATGACTATAAGAAATTTTCCAGTAGCTCAATCTTTGTACATTAAATACTGTAAAGAACACAACACACAAGCTCTGAACGAGATATATATCCAGGAGGACGACTTTTCTGCTCAAGCCGAAACTTTTATATTAGAGAGCTTAGATAATAAGGTAAGAACGATTCATTATTTTATTCCACAAGGAATCTACGTTCCTGTAGTTGGCTGTATACCATGTATTAAAAATTTAATTAAAAATTCTTTGTAATAGGTATATTTTAGGCCCAAACGGGCTAAGTTAAAAAGACAAAACGTTTTCGGAAACCATGTTCCATCATCAGTGTCTAGGAGTACATGAATGTAGCCACCAAGATTAAATATGTGGGTAAAAACCCGATAACAGATGTTTAATTACATTTAGTTTTAAAATAATGTTATAATGATTTAGGATTATAGAGTTACCGATGGATTAGGTAACATGGCGACATATGACTCCACGTTGAAGTTGCTAGTCCTGAGACGGTATGTCTTCGAGGACTGTATGAGTTGTACTCATACGTTTGCGCCTAAAATTATACCTATTACAAAGGATTTTTAATTAATTTGTTTAATTAAACATTATTTTATTGTCTTTCATGGAAATAATAAAATGTATTTGAAATTCAAACAACAAAATAAAAATCATAAATAAATCCGTTAAGTCAGTAGTGACCTTTTAAAAACCATGATAAAGTGACCTAGTATTGCATCGGTAAATTTTTGTGGCACTGAAACCGATTTATATTTCATTTCTCATTCGTCTAATTGAAATATATGGTTTTAGAAAAACCATATGAAAGACGCTCTGCTGACATCGGCCCAAGAAGCTTACAAAAAAGGAAGAAAAGATCTGTACGTAGCCATGTGTGATGAATCTGTGAAATTGATCAGATTTCAGAGGGAAGTTGAAGATAAAATACCAGGCACTAAGACTAAATTTATCGGTAAATCAGTGCATGACACTTGTAAGTTGTTGCTGGATATGAAAGAGACGAAATTGGTTGAAAAATTTAAAAATGATTTTAAAATTCCGGAGAAAAGGTAAGTGAGACCTACTGTTGATTATTGATATTTTATTGGTACTGAGTTTATAATATACAGGGTGTTTCAAAAAAAGTAACCCCGTCTCTAGGGTAGGTAAAAAACTGAAAAATAATTGGGGTTTGCTTAGTAAAAAATTTTTGCAACGCCATTCGTTTTCAAGATACAGGGCGTTGAAGAAAAAAAAATTTACGTATTTTTTACGATTTTGCCGAAACTACTGGCAACATTGTAATGAAATTTTATACGAATATGTTTTGGAAGCTGATACATCCCATGAATTTGTTTTTATATCTGATTCTCATAGAGGGCGCTAGTTACACGGATCGTACTAAATATTAGTCAATATAACTTTTTTAAGAGTATAATTATTAATCAAAATTTCAAATAAACTTAAACATCATTCAATTTTACACGAAAAATGTACTCTTGGTAAAACTCGATACTGTGTACCGTTTTCGGAATATTTTGATTTGAAAATACTGAAGTAATAATTGATGCTGGTAGTAATGATAAAGTTCTAATAGGTATACCTATATTTTCTTCAAGTGTGCCATGGAAATCTGACATTTATTGATTGTTATGACGATAAATCAACAATAATTAGAATTTTGAAACCTTGCTATTTGTAAAATCAAATCAAAATGTACTCAAATGTTGAATACACTGACATGTTATTAACCTTAGGCGAATGTTTAGGATGTTCTAGTGTAGCTGTGACACGTTATGCAGAAAAGTTTCCTAAAAGAAATTTACTAAGTAAAAAAACATTAAGAGCCGTTGATAAAAAATAAAATAAATTCTGGTAGAACCAAGAACAATTAATAAAGAAAAAATATTTTAAATTTACTTGATCAAGATCCAACAGTTAGCGTAAGGAATATAGCAAGACAAACAAATACTTCTTCTTGTCTTCAAAAGCACTTGGCGGATATTGAAAGAACAGCAATTACATCCTTATCATTACAGACAAGTCCAGGAGCTCTTGCCAGATGATCTACCGGTTAGAGTGGATTTTTGTGAAACATTGCAACAAAGGACATCCCACAATCAAATTTTTTAAAATGCATTCTTTTTACGGACGAGGCCACCTTTACGCGACAAGGTATGTTTAACTCCCATAATGCACAATACTGGTGTGATTAGAATCCACGAGTCAAAAGGGTATCACATTACCAACACTCATTTAAAGTTAATGTTTGGCAGCAACTTTAGGTAACAAATTAATAGGTTGTCATATTCTACCTGGAAATTTAAATGGTGATATGTATCTTGATTTTTAAACAATTCCTTATTCGAGATATTAGAAGACTTAACGCTAAACGAGCGAAGATCTTTATTTTTTATGCACGATGGAGCTCCACCACACTTTGATAGAAGGTGTCGTAATTGGTTGAGTAATCATTTTCAGAATCGATGTATTGGTAGAGGTGCAAAAGCTTCGATTCATTGGCTTCCTCGGTCATGCGATTTTAACCGTTTGGACTACGCAGTTTGGTGGTATATTAAGGAAAAAGTCTATGCTACAGAGATGAATTCACGCCAAGAATTGGAAGAAAGACTTCAACGTCAATTTAATGACATCATAGCTGATCCCCTACCGTCTAGAAGGTAAATGGAATCTTTAGAAAAAGAATAGACTTGTGTATTCGCGAAAACGGAGGACATCTTGAACACTTACTGTAATTGAATTTTATTTTATGTTTTTAGTCAATAATTTAATTTTCTTTTTGTGAGTTTTCTTTAATTACTAACTATTTTATACCAGCATCAATTATTACTTCATAATTTTCAAATTCAAAATATTCCGAAAACAGTACACAGTATCGAGTTTTACCAAGAGTATCTTTTTCGTGTAAAATGTAATAATGTTTAAGTTTACTTGAATTGAACATCTCCTTTTTCCTTTTGCTGCTAAACACTTTGCTGAAATACATCTTGGTTTCATTTCCCGGGAGTTTCTCTTTGTGGTAACTGTAGATCCATCTTTCTCCTTCTTTTTTGCTCTATATTGTTTACCACGCATTCTTAAATATTTTTGTTCATTTTTTCTGCTCAATATCAGAATCCGCTTTTAGACTTTCTTTTGCTGATTTGACCATCCTCAAAGCCCGGCTTGTCTAAAAATAAAACAAAAAAGACTTATTTTGTTTCCAAAGAAACCTCGTAAATCAATATTGTAAATACTTGATTATATTTTGGTAGGTAACAAAACCTTGTATCGCAATATTTTTCACTTAAATAATAATTGAGTCATCATAACCTCAAATTTTTTTGGAACAATAATAGTTATGTTTCGGTTTAACCTAAAACAATGCGTCTACGTATTATTAAAACAAAGTATTACGATGTTTTCACTTGTTGACTTACATGATTTCGTGTACAACATGTGACATACAAGGTGTCTGAATTCGAGTTACGGAGGTGCAATTTTACATGCTTTGTAATAAGAGCATGTTTCTAAATCGATGCAGCTCGATTTCCTAATATAGGCCACACAAAAAACGCAAAACCATCGAAAATTGAGATACGGGGTTTTGACATCTTAGCGACGAAATTTAAGATTTGATTTTAGTATATTTTATTTTATTGTGGTCTATTCTATTTTACTGTATTTTATTTTAGTTTATTTTATTTTATATGATTTCAATTTTATTTTGTTTTATTTGATTCTATTTGATTCTATGTTATTCTATTTTATTTCTGATCAATTTTAGTGAGAGAAATTACATGCGTTTGGATTAAATATATCGTTGCTAACGACGTAAGCGATTGTTAGACCTATTTTAATTTGAGTACGTTAAGATTTTAAATCCCTTGTATTCGTTTTCCCAACTCATATAATTTCATTCCATCTTATCCAGGACACGACAAACCTGACCGTCCAGTCCGACTATGTGAAATCGAAAAATTAACGCACTGTATTATTGTAGATATTGGTGGGTCAAAATAGATAGTTTGGCCAAACAAAAAAACTGGACGGAGTGGAAAAGTTTTCTAAAATTAAGAAGTCTCCAATTGGTTACGCCCCGTTTGTCGATGTGTGTCTACAGTACGATAACAGGTCAGAAGCTCTCAAATATCTAGCGAAAGTTACAGAAGACATTAAAGTGAAATATTGCATTAAGACAGGGTAAGTTTTTTTCTCTAATTTCGGTGCTCTCTTGAAATGTTTACCATATTTATTAATATATAAAAAGCGATTAATTAAGTATAAATAATTAACCAAATACATACATTGTAACCGTTTCAAAAGTTTCAAAAAATTTATTATCATAATGGACCGCAGGAGTGTGACGTCACAACTGTCACATTGTCATTATTACTTTCCAAACAAAAGTTTAAATGTCCAATCTCAAGACTTTTTAATTTCTATAACGTTAACATTTTGCTTCCTCTGCTGCTTTTTCTTGTAACCATAGTGTTTTTTATGATAATACCATCATAATTCAGAGTTCTATTTCTATGAAATATAGTTTAAAAGTTTAAATTAAAGAAATTCTAACCTTACTTTATTGATACATGCATTTTATTGCTATTAGCATAAAACAATGTGCTTTATTATTTACACAACCTTGTAAAATTGTTGTAGTAACTATTAGAATACTTAAATATTGCAAAAAGCGGAAAGATTCTATAAAATAAATGAAAAAATAACTAAAAATACAAATTATCCACACTAAACAAGGTTTGTTTGGAATGTGAAACTGACAGATGTCAATAAAATCTACGTCATCACTCCTGTGGTCAATTCCGAGCAAATATTCAAAATAATGTTGCTCACGCCATCTATCCGCCGAGAGTGGAAGCATCTAACCTACCCCAAGAATCAACTGTAGTGCGAATGGTTCCGACCTTGGCCGCCTCATAATTTGATTGTTCGTAAACCCATGGCCATTCATCTTTTCATCTTCCATTTCTCTCTGTGGACGTCCAGACCAATAGGACGAAAATTTTGTTTGCGTGGTCTCTTGACGAGGTAAGCCGAGAAATTCCTTTCCTCTCATATATTTTCAAATAAATATTTATTTTAGACCCTTATGGAGGCCATACACGTTAGGGTTTGCATGATGGTTTTTACCTTGCATGCATAACGACAGGTATAATCGAGTTCCATATTACACATACACGTTAGGGTTTGCATGCACAGTTTTGCCATTAATTCTTCTGTTAAGCTACGTGACGGTGTGTGCAGGACGCCTACAGTACTTTGTGCGATATATACCTACCAAACTACAATGAACGACAACGATGTAATAGCTGTACTTGGCTTAACACTTATTCTTCAGAAAAGAAAAAAAAAGAGATCGCACTGAACGATCTAAACGCTGGTTATTAAAAAGAAATCATTTCTCCCACGTAAATTTGATAAATGAATTTAGATTAAAACCAACAGATTACAAAAGTTATTTACCAATGGATGAAAAACTTTATTTGAAACTATTATTATTGATTCCTCCGTTAATACAAAGACAATATACTGTTATGATAGGAAAGCAATATCATCACATGAGAGACTAGCAGTAACATTAAGATTTCTTGCAACAGGAAGAACATACGAGTATGCTTTTTGGGCTTGCCTCGCCTTAGAGGTAAAAATCCCCTTTCTGGAAAATTATGGAACTAAGCTAATTTTGCTGCGCAACGAGTGCGTCACAAATTCAAATGTGAACGATAGCAAATTTTTTGGATATTAAATATACTCACCGGCCGGCATGTACCTGTTATCGGTTCTCACTACGACTTTGGCCTTTATTGGTGCTCCTTACCCAGTGCCAGCAGGAAACAAGGAGGTCCCACATGGCAGAGAACAGCTCAAGATAGGGAAAGATGGAGAGAACTGGGGGAGACCTATATCCAACAATGGGAGGATAGAGAATAGGTTCAAAAAAAAAAAAAACAGTGTGCCAGATCGAATACAAACTATGATGCCGAAAAAGGCGAGAATCTAGTTTCTGGTACTTCTGAACTACAGAAACTTGGTTTAGGAAGATAAAGATAAACATCAAGGCCTATACCAATGAATACCTATAAGAAACCTCTTTGTTTGGACAAAGAGGTTATTGGAATGGAGGCCAAGGGAAGACAAGAGAAACGTCGGTCGACCACCTACAAGATGGACTGACGATTTGGGAAGACTCAATAAATACTGGAGGCGTGGACACTAAATAAGCAATGTATGGGTAAGCTGGAGGCATTTGAGATGTGGGCTTACCGAAGAATGTTAAAAATCTCCTGGAAGGATAAGATAACTAACCAAGTTGTATTAGACAGGATGAACAAACAAAAGGAGGTCGTATTGAGTGTTAAAATGAGGAAACTACAATACCTGGAACATATTACACGTGGGAATAAATATCAACTGTTACAAATAATTATGCAAGGAAAGATTGAGGGTAGGCGCAGCATAGGTAGAAGAAGAATGTCATGGTTGAGAAACCTCAGGGAGTGGTTTGCTTGCACTTCCATACAATTGTTCCGAGCTGCAGCCTCCAGGGTCAAAATTGCCATGATGATAGCCAACCTTCGTAGCGGAGATGGCACGTGAAGAAGGATAAATACTGGATAAGAGCGGCGCAAGATAGACGGGGTTGGAAACATGAGGAAGAGGCCTATGTTCAGCAGTGGACTCTTGAGGCTGGATAATGATGATGACCTATAAGAAATATGAACTACTTTAGTCATCTAATGAAGCACAACAAATCCAACCACTTATCCTTCAAGAAAAGATCCATCGAGAAGAGGTCTTGGGAGAAGAAACTGTTAATGGTTTGGACCTGACATCTAAGTGAGAGCGCCCACCAAAGTGGCGTGGCACGTAGCAAGTGGCAAGTAGCACGCGTCTAGAATGTTTCTTAAAATGTAACCATTGAAAACGAATGATTCAGCGTACACCAAAATGACAGTGATGTCATTCATTCAAATCATTTGTTTTCATTGGTTACATTTTAAAAAACATGCTAGACGCGTGCTACTTGCTACGTGCTACTTGCCACGCCACTTTGGTGGGCGCTCGCCCTTAGACAAGCCGCTAATAAAATATAAATTTTTATGGATAGAAGGCAATAGTAGAAGATTTATACTCAGTTAAGTTTGTTTCTATCGACCGAATTAAGAAAAAACAATAATTGCAAAAATTTAGATAAAATAATCTTAAACGACCTTCTCTTGCTGAACATATCCATATTTGGTATTTGAGTGGCTAATGTAGATAAAATGTATACTTGTATCGAAAACAAGCGAACGATTCGAGTTTGTTTTAACTTGAATTTTCACCTATGACGAAGAATTATACAGAAATGCTTTGACTGATAATATAGAGGACTCTTATCTGATTAACAACAACTGCTTTTACTAATGGTATCGATCTGAAATTGAAATCAGGTGTTACCTAAGGCAGATAAGGATAAGAAAAACAAATATTAAATCAGAAGTGTTGGTTATTGAACGTGTTATTTAATAGAGTATGATTATTTGATATAAAAATAGTATTTTACAATTGTTATTTTTAGACATCACATAAAAAACAATTTTAGTCGCGTTTTCGACAGTTTGTTCGTGCCTTTATCAAAACTGCAATCAATATCTGGCAAATTACCTTCTTAAACTATTTACTAATAAATAATAACTTGCCTAAAACGTAAAGGGTACCCCACGTTAAAATAAGCAAAATGTCCGCACTACCAGAATTCAATTTTTACATTTTATGTCATTCAAAAATAAGACTCGGTGCAATTTCAGCCCGTCGACCCCTCCCCTCCCACCAAAAACGTCATTTCGGTGGCTTTGTATTCATTTTTAAATCTTCAAAAATTCACACCCTAGTTGAGCCTTTTACAAAACTTGTCCATTTCTTATACGTAATTCAAATGTTCATAACCTAAAAATGCATTTTTTTTTTTTTGAAAAAAGCGTATCAAGTTTTTTGAGTATTTGATTTTGATTTTGAATGTATTTTTGATTTTATCCAGACTTTTCCGTCAGGTCCATCACCTTCAAAAATTCTAAAAACTGACTTTTTAACTGTTTTTGAGGATTTTCTCATTTTGTAGACTTCAAAATAGATCAAATCAAGATATTTTTATAGATTATAATATAATTTAAAGTAATAGAGTCCTTTAGACATTCAAAAATTGGGAGAAACTCCTTTAAACCCTCAAATAAATCTGTTTTTTCGGGGTTTTTAAGGGTTTTCTGAGATTTTGTAGAATTTATCATATTTTTGACATCGATACAATCTGAATCAGCGTCGCGTTTATAGTCGTCAGAGAAGCAAATTGATTCGGGTTTTTTGCATGTTTCAAGGCATCTCTACTTTCTCTGGATATTGGAAATATATCTTCCCTGGTTATTTTAATAAAATTTTAAAAACATGCTGTTTAATGGTGTAGAAAGGTAAAAAAGTTGTGTATATCCAGTAAGAAACCGATGAACAACCCTTGAAAACCCCATTTTTCGCATAAACGATAGTTTATTTACGAATGTGCCATTAAATAAGACTTTAAATATTGTGAAGGCAAAATTAGAGAGTAAATGATTCATTGGCAACTAGAACAAGACTAAACATATCGGTCATAATGGAGCTATTAACATTATGTAGTGATAATACATATTTTCAACTAAGTAATGAGTTCTATAAACAAAATTTTGGTCTAGCAATGGGCTCCAGTTTATCTCCATTATTAACCGATATATTTATGGAAGATTTTGAAACAAATATCATTTCTAAACAAAATTTAAAACCCACAGTATGGTGAAGGTATGTAGATGATGTATTCTCAATATGGCCTCATGGATCAGAGTTGTTGGACATTCCTAAATGATATAAACGATAAAGAAGAGACAATAACATTTACCATGGAAAAGGAATATAATAACACGCTACCTTTCCTGGATGTTTTAATCTATAAGAACGATACTGGATATGAGACTCAGATGTATAGAAAACCAACACACACCAATAGATATTTAAATTTCAAATCAAATCACAATATTAATGTAAAAAAGGGAATAATTAAATCCTTATACGATAGAGCCAAAATTACTTGTTCTAACAAAAATTCGTTCTTGGAGGAGAAACATTTGTTAACATCTGTTTTATTAAAAAATGATTATCCTTTATCGTTTATAAATAAGGAATTTTCAACAATCGATCGAATAGAACAGAACAACTTATACAGCATACACAAGGAATAATACGAGGAAAATAACAATACCGTACATAAAAGGATTATCAGAAAAACTTAAAAGGATAGGAAATAAATTCAACATTTCAACAACATTCAAAACAACAAACACATTGAGATCTATTTGGTCCAAAATCAAACCTAACAATGAACAATAAAGGACAAAGAATTGCATCTATAAAGCATATTGCACATATACCTTGTGAATGCGATCACTTTTATTTAGGTGAAACATCAAGGCCATTAAATGTTAGAATAAATGAACATCAATCTTACATTAAAAATAGAGAATTGGATAGATCTCAAATATGTAAACACTCATGGGATAATGAACATAGGGTTCAATGGAATAATTCAAATGTAGTCCTAAAAGAAACGGATGGTAAAAAAAGAAAAATCAAAGAAGCGGCTCTAATTATGCTAAATGAGACCAATTGTGTCGCAAATTCCTCGGCAGAATGTAGTAGGATCTGGTTACCCATATTGAAAGAGGAAATTATTAATAAGAAAATACCAGTATTAGTAAGTCAGTAACATATAGAGGATACATCATTTATGTTTTTTAAATAACAAACATATAAAATCAGAATTTGGTCTTTATTGAAGGCAAACTAAATGCACGAACAAATACTTACCATGTCGGGAACCTTATGAGGTTTTTTCCTGGTTTTTCCCTCATAATTTACTATGAAATCACTAACAGGAGAATTTTACTATCATCATGTTTGTCTTTTTAAAGACGAATTACATGCTATGATTTTTTCTGACGGATTCTCTCAAGTTAAAGTTGATTTCATGTAATCGAATGAACTAGCGCAACTCAACAATATTGGCAATATCATTTTAAAGTCGTCTACTTCAAAATGCATAATATATGTCTGAATTGTCAATATAAACGAGTCGGATAAAATTAAATTATTTAATTTTTTATGAATAAGAATTTTTCACTAAGTAAAAAAAAACAAAATTTGTTTAATTTACTGTTTGTATTTTGAGAACGATTTCCGAAGTGGAAATTGAAACGTCAATAAATGTATTTTAACCTTTAATTGTGGCTTAATTCCAGTTATAGCCTTCCAGATACCGTACCGTCTATTCTTATTATGGCTATGGGTTTCACTCGCCAATTTTATAATAGGATTGCAACGATTTTTTTTAGAAAACTTCGCTGAAAACCACTTTAAATATTTTCCAAATTATCAAGACACACTTTTGCCATTTTTTCTAAAATTCTTGCGACTTTTACTTCTGGTCGTTTTGATATTCTCAAGCGTTCAATTTTTTCTATCAGTGGCGTCACATAATTCTCTTTTATTCCAACAGCGGCGTTACACCAGCAACTTTGATAAAAAAATGTTGATAAGTGGTTAATTATTTTATTTAAATAATATTTATGGTAGATTTTCATAAGTTTAATTAAAAGCTGTAAATAATAATAATAATAATAATAATCTTTATTAATAGCACATGGCTAGAAAAATATACATATAAATACATATTTATACCCTTAAAATTAAATCACAATGCTTTGCTTAACATATATCTTACATAAATTTTTAAATGGAGCTAAGTTTCCAGAAGCCTTAATGTTTTCCGGTAATTCATTGTATTGCTTTAATCCCCTACAAAAAAGATTGTTCTGACCAAAATTAGTGTTGACCCTATTCAGATAAAAGTTATTTCTAGAACGTGTGTTGTGTTCATGTACATCTCGAACAAAGGTACAATTATTACACAAATGCACAGGTATCAGACCATTTAACATTTTATAAACAAAAATCATACTATTACATACAATTGTCTGTCTTACACTTAAAACATTTGCCATTGTTAGCATGTCAGTTCTACTAGTGTATACACTACATCCTAATATTATCCTTAAGGCTTTATTTTGTTTTTTCTGCAGTACGTTCATTTGAGAAGCATTCATTAAAAACAGCAATGTAGAGCAAAAATAGAGATGGGGAGCAATAATCGATTTATATATGGTCAACCTAGACCAGCAACTTAAATTTTTTGACATTCTTCCCAATGCATAGATTTTTTTGCTATTTTGTTTGTAACAAACTTAAAATGTTCAACAAAACTTAAATTTTCATCTATAATACATCCCAAATACTTATACTGAACCACTCTCCCCAAAGCAATATTATTAATTTTTACATCTTTTATTATGTTATTTAATTTAAAATTTTTATTCTTTATAAGCATCATTTTTGTTTTAGTTACATTAAGACTTAAGGAATTATTATTTTAATTTTAATATATTACATATCTCTTCATTTATTATATCGATTATTTCATCTACCTTATCCCTATTGCATATATCACAGTATCATCGGCAAACAACTGTACCTTACACTTTTTAACAACATCAACAATATCATTTATATACAGTATGAAAAGAGTAAGACCTAACACAGTTCCCTGTGGCACACCATACAGAGACTTCTGAGCCGATGAAATGGCACCATATTTTGTCACTTGTGTTCTATCAGTCAAATATTCTTGAAACCACTTTATAATTTTTTCACCAAAGCCATACCTTTCCATCTTTCTCAATAGCAGTTGTCTGTTTATGGTCTCAAATGCACGTTTAAAGTCTAAGAAAACCACACCAATCATTTTCCCGCACTCCAGCGCACCCTTCCAGTCAAACAAAACCGTCTGCATTGCACTCTCGCAATTACGTAGTAAATTTATTAAACAAACACACTCTTGTTAGTTCTAAACTTTTTTTAACAAATTTGATGTTAGAAAACTGTAAGTGTAAGTGAATACTTTGCAGATGCTTAGAAGAGGCTGCAGATATTGCCTTTCAACAAAGAGATATCCAAAGTCTGCGCTATGTCCAAAGCAAGTGCAGCAATCAATTTCCACAAAACCAACTTTGCGAGAGAATAAGTAGCATGATCATGCAACTGGAATCAAAGAAGTAGATTTACGGTGATTTATTTTCTATCTATTGTTTTATTATGAAATATTATACATTATATTTACATATATTATAAAAAATTGTAATTAATTAAATCGTATATATGGATAAATATTTCCTCCATTTTTCTGTAAAATTATGGGCTTTTTTTCTTCATATCTAATTATATTTGAACTTATTGGCATTTATTATATTGTTACGTTGTTCTGTGGGTTCAGAAAATTCTCGTAGGTCATTTCTGCGTCGATATAATCAGTTCGTGGAATATTTTGACGGTGGAGAGACTTCTCTAACGCACAGAGCCGCAATCAGGGGTATGTATATTGTTGTGCTCTATTTTTGACTCTATTTTTACTTGTGAAAATAATTTACTCCAATTAATTAATTTACTAACTATCTAATCAATCAAAATCAAAACAAAAAATTTATAAATTATATATCTCAGGGCTAATTAATAATTTTAGTACTTACTTTGTTTCGTAGGTTCAAAAAAGATTTCTTAGTGGCTTCTTAATAAAAGGTTAGGTAAAAACGACATAAATAATACACAGGAATTTCAAAGTTGAAATAACAAAATTCGTTTATTTTATAAATTTGTGTTCAATGTTCAATCATGTAAGTTTTATCAATGACTCCTTTACCTTTTATTGTATGTAACCAATATTAAAACTATGAATCTTTTTTTCTTTTGTGACCCAAATTAGTTTGATATGAAATATTTTGATTTATCAATATTACGGATAAAAGAAATTATAATGATGTCTAAATGATAACTTTTTCTTGAGATTTAAAAAAAATTTATAATATTGAAATGTTTATTTAAATATGCACTGTGGTATTTAATATGCAAAACCATTCATTTCTGTCATAACAAATTAAGACTGACCTTTTCACTGTAGCTTCTCATGAAGATGTCCTCATACCAAAAACCATTCTCCGTAGTTGCTGCTGTTGCGATCCAAGGAAACTTGTCCACGTTTCCCAAATATGTCCCTGCTTGCTATCACCTCGTTTTCCTTTTCCTGGTATGCCTTGTACCTGCACTCGTTCCGGCTTTCTCCTGCTGCAGTATTCCCCCCTTTTACAGTACTTAACGATTCCTGTATGCTTTAGATTCAAGGAGTTGTATTATCTCTCAACTTGACCTAATTCTTCGTTCCAATTTTCTCACACTGGTCACTTTTGGACAAACAAAAACCGGCAATTTCATTTTTCCTAACACTAACCACCAAACAGAACAATCACTTTCAATCGAACAAAACAGACTGCCTTTTCTTCTCATTAATTCTCATTCCTTCTCCAGTCCTTCCCTTTCCTCTTTACCATTTTTAGCCAATCAAAACTACTTTCAGTCATGACGTATTTTTCTACCAAACTATTTTCTCTTTCAAAAATGCCATTAGGGATTTAAAAAAAAAACAAAATTTCCAGCTATCTTAATCCTAATCTAAACTTCAAACGTATTTTTTCTATCTTTACAAATAATAATATAAAGTTATAATTTAACTACCGATAATGTCTATTAACTGTATTTCTTGAAAAGTCAATAATCGATTCCTTTGTTACATAGATTTACCCTCGACCTCGGCTTTGGGTACTTAGTTCAAACAACAACTTTCTTATCTAAATTGCCTATTCTCTAATGTGGACTTTACTGTTTTTGGGGCTAATACACAATTCCGCGAATAAACTGTCTTAAAACTAAATATAATCATTTGTACACAATTTTGTCTTATACAGGGTTTTCCAAAACTTATATACTCGTGGTTGAGAAATATAAAAGTTAATATTTAAAAAATATTAATATAGGCTTTTAACTTCTCATGTCAATTTAAAAACTACAGCAATATGTATAAAAATACCAAGAAATTCAAGAGGCAAGGGTTGAAGAACTCCTTTATAGGATAATGCTACTGTCTTATCCACGTTAAAGAAGACTAAATTAGAGTCAGGCCAGGTTTTTATTTTAAGTAGATCAGAAGTTATAATTGCATGAAGAGTTGCAATATTAGAGTTCCTCCATCTTGGTATCATCAGCAAAAAGGAAAATTTTTGATTGATTAAGTTAGTGATGTCATTTATAAAGATAAGCAAAAAGTAGAGGACCCAGTACTGAACCTTATGGTACTCCACATACAATGCTTTCGTGACTAGAGTCAGTATCATTTCCTCTAACTAGTTGTTTCCTATTCTTGTTGTAAATATGATATCTTCGGGGTACATCTGGATTATATTTAAATCCAGCTTAAATTATTTTTGTACATATCCCGTCAAAGATAAAGGAAGAAAAACATGTATATTTACGTAGCGTATTCTTCGTAACATAATAAATTAAAGAAACCGCTGAAAAGTTGTACTTTACTATGTTAGTATTCTAGTCAAGCTTGTTACATTCTACCGAAAAAATCTGGTAGAGAAATATATTTACACTTTTAAAAAAACGCATTTTGTAATAAATGATTTATATAAAACCAACAGTTTCCTATCTTATAATGGCATATACAATTTTACCACTTTATAACAAATAAAATGTTTATTAAATCACCAACTGTTTTATTGATCCATTATCCTCATTGATATCATGAACTAGTTGGATATTATTTCCAGGAAAATATTTGTTTTGTTTCAAAGGATTACTCATGTTGTTTTCTATAGATAACGAAAAGTAATTTTAACATTGACACTGTTTGAATCATACTTAGGGAGTGCGATGGAAAAAATAAACATAAAAAATGTGAAAATTCAATCGGTTGCTACGAAACGAACCAGCAACGTACGCCGGTACGTGAAGGCAACATGAACTGCAGAATTCAAGTAATGCTCGCTATTGAAAATACTTTTATCTTCTGTACTTACTTTTATAGAGGTCATAGTATACACCAGAAAATATGGATAGCGTGAAGTCTATTCATTCATATTCCATCAGATAGTGCTTGACTCTCAGAGAGAGACTTGTTTTGCTACTTCTTTATTCTGCAATCATTTTGTCAGAGTATTAGCAAGAAGTCTATTTCTTGCACACTGCATATTTTGTTTTCAATAAAATGCATTAGACAAGTCCAGACGAAAGACAAACTCGTTCCAATACATAATCTTTCCTCGCCTACTCTCTTATTTTCTTTATTATTTACTGTTTTTTGCGATTTGTGTTGCTTCTTACCAAGATTTACCCTTATTTTGTAATATCTCTACTATGTCGATGTTCCACTTCTTTATTGATCTGTCCGTTCTGTTTCAAATATAACAGAAAAAAAACAGATTTCCTCATAAAAAACTTTTACACTAAATAAGAAAAGTAAAAACTACATAGGTATGTAGATTAACTTGCATTTACAGTTATATGCTCTTGAAAAAAGTCAATCACTGAGGTATTCTGCATAATTCCAAAATATCGATAAGGTTCGAAGGTTCTCGTTGCTTAAAATAGTCTAGTAGAACATTGGCAGCTTTTTCAGTGTCCTGGTTAGATACTCTTTTGATTAATACCTTCCCATCATTTTCTTCTTCTTTGCTCTTATTTCCGGATGAACCAGTTTGTGATCTACCGACCTCATTCAAAACTAGTTCGACAATACCGTCGTTGCTGAGCAACTGATAACCTGGGCCATCTTTGTTAAACTGTATCCACGTCATTGACCTCAGTTGCATTAATTTCTTCAAATTCATCGGTATTAAGCACTGTTACAGTTAGTTTAGCTATGGTAGTTTCTTTACTATCACATTCTATGTTGCTTTCTTTTTCCTCCAGCGATATTATTTTATAAAAAAAAAACTCTTTTAAAAGTCTTCTCTTTCACTTTGATGGTAAATTTTGATGTAAATTTATTAACTGGAAGAAAAGGACAAAGAAATTTACATCATCGGATCTGAGAGCTATCTCATTTGGATGAACACCAGCATGATCTAGAAGAAGACCCGTTTGTGGCAATTTTTTCTTTTTCAATTAAGATTATACTTTCACAAAAATAATTATAAATAGATAAATAGATAACAAAGTTCGATGTATATCAACCAGTAGAGCAAGCCGGATTTAGAAAAGGGTTCAGTACATGTGACCATCTTCACACACTAAAGGTCCTAATAGAAAAAGTTAACGAATACAATTTACCAATCTGTTTAGCATTTATAGACTACGAGAAAGCTTTTGACAGCATAGAATTATGGGCTATTGAGGAAGCACTGGTCAACAGCAGAATAGATTCTAGATATAGGATATTAATACATAATATATATCAATACACTGAAATGGTAGTCACGATGGATAACGAAATGAAAACGAGGCCAATAAAAATCAACCGAGGAGTAAGACAGGGAGACACCATATCTCCAAAACTATTTACTGCCGCACTTGAAGACATCTTTAAAACACTAAATTGGGAAACGAAGGGACTATCGATAAAAGGAAAGTATTTAAACCATCTAAGATATGCAGATGACGTAGTACTAATAGCCGAAAGCTAGAAAGAACTGAAGACGATGGTCGATGAGCTTCATACGGAATCCATAAAAAAAGGACTGAAGATGAATCTGAGTAAAACTAAGCTAATGTCGAATAAAGATGATCAACCGACGATAACCATCCAAGGAACAAAAGTGGAACGTGTAGAAGAATACATATATCTGGGTCAGAATATCAAGGTAAACAAAGAAAACCAAACTACCGAAATAAGCAGACGAGTAAGAATGGGATGGACCGCATTTGGAAAACTCTCATACATACTGAAAGACAAAAAGATACCCCAAAACCTTCGAACCAAATTGTCCGATTCTTGTATCCTCCCGTTCTCACTTACGGAGCTCAAACCTGGACATTCACAAAAAAGAACATGGACAAGATTCGAAAAACTCAGCGAGCCATGGAACGACAGATGCTTGGTATCTCACTAATAAATCGGCAAACGAACGAAGCAATCCGGAACAAAACAAAAATAAAGGACGCCGCGAAACAAGCAGCTAAATTAAAATGGAAACGGGCTGGATACAACGAACGTCTCGAAGATGGTAGATGGAACAAAGAAGTCGGAAACTGGCGACTGTACGATGCGAAGAGACCAAGAGGAAGACCTCAAATGCGCTGGAGCGACGATATCAAAAGAGTCGCAGGACCAATGTGGAAACGCCTAGCACACAACAGGCATGAATGGCGAGAAATGGGAGAGGCCTTTATTCGACAATTCGGATAGAAAAAGGGCTATAAAAAAAATTGCAAAAGAAATCAATAAGTCTTGTGGGTACTGTGAATCCCAATAGAAGGAAAGTTCCTCTACGCGTAAAGCAAAAAAAGAGAATTGTATGTTATCCACATATTCCAGACCGACGAAAAAATTACACTTACTGCATACACACAGAGTCACAAAAATGTGGTTTTGTTGATCTCGTTATACGAATCAGTGGATGTTACTGTAGATGGAAAAAACTTCCTGAAACAGTAAATTTTAATAATAAAACCAATTATGGAGTTGATGTAGTGAACCAAATGGCGCGTGTTTATACTACAAAATTTGATTTAAGACAATAGCCTATTTAAGGGTTTTATAACATTCCTGGCATTCCCAGGAGCAATTAATGCATGGATTATTTATAAATAAATAACTGGAAGTAGACTCAGTTTTTCTTCTCATGGCGCTGTCTCCTTTGGAAGGTTGGCGATCTAAATGGCAATTGTGGGTTTTGGTAACTGCTGCGCGAATGATGTCTGCAGATGAGCGGTCGAACCATCTCCTCAGGTCTTTCAGCCATGAGTTCTGGCGTCTTCCTACTAATCTTTTGCCTTGTACTTTTCCTTCCAGTATAACTTGAAGTAATTCATATTTTTCGCCTCTCAACACATGACTCAAGTACTGCATTTTCCTCTCTTTGATTATTGTTATTAATTATTTTTGTTTAGACATTCGGCGAAGTACCTCAACATTAGTAACTCTTTGTACCCGTGGAATTCTCAACATTCGTCTGTATATATACATCTCAAAGGCATCTATTCTTTTTTCTTTTTCGGAGTCCATTGTTCAACTTTTACAGCCATTCAGTAAGACAGAAATAACGTAACATCTAATCATTCGGATTCTAAGCTGCAGACTAAGGTCTGATCTCGTAAAAAATGTTTTCATACTCATGAATGTTTTCCTTGCTTGTTCGATTCTTGATAGTGTTCCTTTGTTTGGATTACACTGACCATTGATATTTGCTTCCAAATATTTTATAGAATTTACCTGCTCTATCATTTGACCCTTGGCATGCACATGTACGTTTATTGGTGTCTTTGAAAACACTAAAGTTTTAGTTTTGGCAATGTTAAATGTAAACATAACATTTCGCTGTGATGAACTACCGCATTTATTATATTTTGTAGTTCTTTTGCGTTACTTGTTATTAAGACAGTATCATCAGCATATCTGATGTTGTTTATGCTGATCCCGTTAATCTTAATTCCGCCTTGGACCTGGTCTAATGCTTCTCTGAATATAGACTCCGAATACAAATTAAACAGTAGCGGTGATAAGACGCAACCCTGTCTCACTCCTCGTCGGATTTGTATATCTTCGGATGTTGTGTGCTCTATTTCAATTGTTGCCATTTGGTGCCAGTACAGTTCTCAGATAATTCGCAAGTCTTGTTCGTCAACTTCGGTTGTTCTCAGAATTTCGATCATTTTTTGATGGTTAACACAGTCAAATGCTTTTCGATAGTCAATAAAACATGCATATACATCTACGTTCATGTATCTGCATAGTTGCATTAACAGATTTGAAGCAAAAAGTGCCTCTCGTGTTCCCAATCCGTTTCGAAATCCGAATTGAGTGTCACTCATCTGGAACTCACACTTCTTGTAAATTCGTGTATGGATAATTCTGAGGCAAGTTTTAAGGACATGAGACATCATGCTTAATATTCGATAATCACCGCATTGTGAGGAATTAGATCTTTTTGGTAATGCTACGAATGTTGATTTTAGCCAGTCTGTTGGCATTCTGGACCGGTGGCTTTTCCATCTTTCTGAGATTTTACTGCGTGAATCACTTCTTCTTTGGTTATTTCTGGGCCTTTTTCATTTATTAGATTATCTGTGGATGGTGGAGAACAAGGTCTATCGTCGTCAAAAAGAGTTTGTATGTATTCTTTCCATCTCTCTAGTTTGCTTTCTGTACCCATAATTATTTCGTTATTATCATTTTTTAATATTATTGCTTGTCTCTTTTTGTGCCTACCTCTCATTTCTTTTACTTTTTTATGAATATTAAAGGTGTTGTATTTTTCCTGAAGTTGTTCGATTTCTAGGCATTTTGTTGACATCAAGTTTTCTTTCGCCTCCCTGCACTTTTTTTTAATGATTTTATTGATTCGCTTGTATTCTATTGGGCTTGTTTTATGTTTTCGTCTTACGTCCATGAGGCCCACGATCTCTTGCGTTATCCATTCTTGTTTTTTGTTGTGTTTTATGAACCCGTTGTCTTCTTTTTGTATCTTTGTTATTTTTGTTTTTAGAGCAGTCCATGCCACTTCAATGCCTGTCTGTACCAAGTTTTCGATCGTGTAATATAATACATAATGGGAGCGTTATGTGAAGGTAAGGAAAACGCTGTCACCAAATGAAATACACAATAGATCCTCATGGGATGCTAACCCTGCGAGCGGCTGCAAGGAATACTGGTCACACTGGTCTGGAGGGCTGGCTCGTCTTCGTGGATTTACGAGAAGATAAGGGATTTCGGGATAGGGGTAAGGACTCCTAGGTCTCAGGTCCTGTAAAGAGTAGAGGTTATGGGCTTACTTTTGAAGCCGGAGATATGCATACGCAGAATCTCGTGTTCTCCTAGTCTCTAGTGAGTCGGACGAAAGGAACATTAAAAAAACCAAATTAGAGTCAACAATATATTGAATCTACCCTGAAGTTACTAATACAATCGTTAACACGTTATTCTGCGCGTCGGGAGACGATGTAGCAAGATAGTGAAGAGTTGACAGTGGTACTAATATAATTACCCAGGTTAGTATAAGAAATCTGTTACCTTATGTGTATATTAGGGCTTCAACCACGACACGTTCAGTCTTCTGGAACTCGGTCAGTTGAGGGTTGCGAACTTTCGAGCTGCCACAATAACCGGACTACACGCGAACTCTGCCAGATGATACCCGGCCCCCGGAGAACCACCGATTGTCTCGTACTGTTCGCGTACGGGACGCTGTCGCGTCCCAGTCACGGTGGCCCGCTATTACTGACTGACTACTACTAGCTACTCGTACCCGACGCTACCGCGTCGAGAGTACCCGGGGCGGCAATTGATGCCTGGACGCCCGCCGTCTCACTACTGACTGACTGCCTACTGACTACCCGGCGTCCGTCGTTTCTTCTTGTTTTATTGTGGTCGTACTTTCAACGCCGGTTCTAGTACCAAGGTCGTAGTTTCGCTGAGTTGCAGTTTTGGCGTTATTGCTTCTATTTGGGTCACGGGTGTTGTTATTTTTTTACAACAATAGTTTCGTGCTTTTTATACGTTTAAACAATTATCAAACAATGCCATAACTAGGTCAATTGTTATACTTTGTATAATTTAAATGTATAAGTTAACTGTATTAATTATCCCTTATTTAATTTGGAATATATAATAATTATCTCGAATAATTATTATCTTTTTCTATGCTACTTCCTTTATTCCAACTTTTCACTCACTTGCTACGCTCACATTACAATCGTTTTTAATTTCTTCCTCAAGCTTGATACATATTTTTTTCTGTTCAGGGTTCTTCAGTTGTGAGATGTCTATTTTTCTTGTAGCTGTTTTCTTTTTGACTTTGAGAAATTTTTTAATCTAAAATCCATTATAACTGGATTGTGATCGCTATGTATATCAGCTCCAGGGTATATTTGTATGTAGACTCAGTTGTCGTAAGTTTATTCTTCAACTATGTGAAGAATTACGGGCCCCATAGCTTGTTACTATTCAAAATGTCAGTGGAAATTATTTTGTAAAGAAATCATACTTCCAATCCGTGCTATGGCCAAAAACAGCAAACTGTATAGTGTTTCAAATATTTAAACAATGAGACTAAAAAATTAAATCAGATTCTATCATCTAGAGTTGATATAATTTCTTTAAACTGGATTCTTATTGATTTGAGAACTTGGGCCAAATCGGCCTTTCTACGTAGGTATGCTATACCAGACTTTCTAGTGTTGGGCTTCAGACATTACAAAGGAAACAAAACACCCCAATAATTATAAGGGAATCTGCGTCACACCTGTGGGTAGGTTGTATAGGAAAATCGTTAAAGAAAGGATGAAGAAACAGCTACGAACCTTGGAAGAACATAATGAGTCTTTTCATTAGTGATGTTGCTATACGTATATTAAATATTAGTTGTGTTGGGTAATAATTTTTATTATAAAACTTCATTTGACGGATAATATTTGAGTACTTAACATTATAATATGATACATATGTCGATAGTCTAATACGTTCTCACAACTCTCAAGAGACCGGTCACCAGAACTTGTATGAATCAGTACAATATTAAAAATAAATAAAAAATCAAATGGTTTAAATGGAATTTTTCAACAGTAACACCGCGTGCGTTGTTTTTATTGGACTTTCCGTCATAGTCTGATAAGATACCTACGGCTATAAAAAAGATTCTACCCAACAGTTCACTTTAGTTCGAGTTTTCTGTTATCGTTGACAACAAACAATTTAAAAATATGGCAGGTGAGTTTATTTTTAAACTATTAGGTTAATGCATTATTTATGGGTGTTGACTTTTTAAATATTATGTTTTAATGTTGGCGATAAGAAGCGATGGTGATAAAATGGATTAACAAGACAAACGTTATTGCTTCAGATTACATTTGTACTACAAAATCAAAGATTTCAATTATCTGTCCAGATAATTGAAACATAAGCGATGGCTTATCTTCTTCGGTAGATACCATCGTAACATAATTGTACCTAAATGTTTTCTCAAGTTAAGAAAATTCTATGAAAACTTTCTTTTGTAAACGATTTTTAAACTAAAAGTCCGACAATTTCTCTATTTCTGTTGTGTGCAATGGATTTTTAGGCTATGAACTGTTTCAAAAGACTTACAGGATTATTCACTTTGCTTTTATCTCAATGCGGGGCTAACTTTTTAATAGACATTCAGAGAAATATCGATTACCCGCCTCAACATGTTTTCTATGGACTTCCTCTTATACTTTACTAATTTAGGATTTAGCATTTAAACCAGGATCTAACTATCTTAGTTTTTGCTCTCTTTGACAATAATCGGTGGTAGTTTAGATTTTGTATTCATTTTAAATTTCTTTAAATCACTTTTTTTCTTAATTAGATGGATTTATTAAAGACCAACTAGCCAGACAATATTTTTAACTAAATAATTTAATTTAACTTAATTAAAAACTCATCCTTCTTCAACAAAAGTTTCTTTTTTTTATTTCTTTCTTTCTATCATTTTTCTTTATTTATTTTAACTTAAATATTTTTTATATGTACAATTTAGTTTTTTTTCTCTTACTTTTAATTTTTTTGTTTTAAGTCAGTTCTCCCATTAATCTAAGCTTCCATCCTCATTCAACTTCCATTTCTATCTTCAAAATTAATATTCTATATAGAAGATGTTACCTTCTATCTAAATCTTCATTTTTCTAGTCTAGTCGGTGTTCTAGTGCTTTCAATATTGTTTACTGTCCTTACATACTCCGAATACATTAAAGGTTACCTTGGAATTTTATGTTATCTGATTCAGCACTACATATAAGAAGGGGCGTTCGACAGGGATGTGTGCTTTCCCCTCTTTTATTTAACATTTATTCGGAAGCCATATTTCAAAAGTCTTTGGAGGATGCAAAGATGGGAATCAAAGTGAATGGAGTATTGATCAACAACATACGATATGCTGATGATGGTGTCTTAATTTGTGACAACATAGTCAATCTTCAACAACTTGTCACTATAATCGGAGAATACAGTAAGCGAATGGGATTAAAGATTAATAAAAAAAAAACAAATTTATGATCATCTCCAGAAACTTGGATGCACTTGAAAACTCCACCATAACACTGAATACTAAGTCCATTGAAAGAGTGAGTAATTTTAAATACCTGGGATCGTGGCTTTTTGAAGACTGGGCATCGGACAAGCTTTCGTAAAATTCAAGAAGGTACTGACTTGTTCAGAGTTCGATCTTCAACTGAGACTAAGGTTTACTAAGTGCTACGTGTGGTCAGTGCTGCTATATGGCGTAGAGGGCTGGACACTCAAAACGAGGAATGTAAACAGATTAGAAGCTTTCGAAATGTGGCTCTATCGCCATATCCTGAAAATACCATGGACAGCGAAAATCATAAATATAGATGTCCTTAAAAGAATAAACCAAGAACGCCAACTTTTCGAAACCATCAAGAAAAGGAAAACGGCGTATCTAGGTCACATCATGCGAAATGAAAAATACCAGTTCCTCCAATTTATAATCGAGGGTAAAATTGAAGGCAAGAGAGGAATGGGACGCAAGAAAATGTCCTGGCTCCGAAACATAAGGCAATGGACAGGGATTAACGACATACAATCTCTGATACATATTGCAAGAAATAGAGAATTAATGGAAAATGTGATCGCTAACATCCATTAGTGGATTTGCATCTGAAGAAGAAGAAGATTCAGCACTAATGACAATTATTAACGAGGACTTAGAACTGAGTCGGTTCGAGAATCGGTTCAATTCTACGTTCACTTAAAATTTATCACTATCTACAACCTTTTTATTTATTTATTTTTTTTTTGTTAACTTTTTGAGGGTGTCAAAACTAAAAACTGTATCAGTAGAGTTTATTGAAAGGGATAGCTAGTGTGTGTTGGATTCAGAGTAAAAAGTCGTGTTATCCATTTCGCCACATACGTATTGCCTTCCACTCTTGCTGCCATTGACCGATTGAAACTAATCTCTCGGCCAGTCTCATGTCAGTCATCTTTTGCTCTCCAATGTTCCCCTCAGTCATCTCCACCCCATACGACTATGAATCCTGGCCCTTTCACCTACCAGTTACTGTTGTAGCTAGGTTCACTGCCCGAATTTAAAATGGCATTTATATATTTATCACTGTCACACAAGTTCAAAACGCCTGGTACGTTTGAGCCTGCGGACTAGGTCTTGATTATCTAACAGTTCTAACACTTTCTCGTTTGTATAGCTGTGGAGTCGGTTTTCGTGATCCTTAACCATCTTCTTTATGTTTTATTTAAGTGTTGCCATACGAAGTTTCTGGTGTAGGTCTTTGTTGCGAATATACCATGGAGCGTTGACTTTGTTTCTTAGTATTCGGTTTTGGACTCTTTGGAGGCAAGCATAGTTACTCTCACTAGTACAGCGCTATAACTGCAAACCATAGGACAACACTGGTTTGAGCATTTGTTTGTAAAGTAATATCTTGTTCTTGATTGTAAGTTGTGAGGTTCTACCTAATAACCAATATAATTTCTTAGATTTTAGTTTTAGTTCTTCAGTTTTCTTTCTGATATGTTCCTACCACTTTAGCTTGCTATCCAAATGTAGACCTAGGTATTTAACTGTTTTCTTGTACTGAACGATTTTATTATTTAGTCTAACGGGATGATTTTTTTGTGAGTGAATTAAATATGGGCAGATTTCTCTTCATCGACTTGTATTGTCAAATCCTAATGCATATGTCATATATAGCTAAGCTCTGTATATAGGTATAAGGTAGTAGTAAAAGCAACAATCTAATTTAAGTACTTAAAAAATCCTCTCGATATATTTTAGCTTACTATTGGGTTGACACATACGCTCGCGGTGGAGTACCATCTTCTGCTCTTCGTGGAGGCACTGACGTCGACGGGTACGAAATCTATGTCGGCAGAGCTCACTATGAAGGAGATTGGCTTCCAGCAAAAGTAATTCCAGGCAAAGATATCGCCTACGTATCTTACAATGGATCCGAGATTGGAGTTCAACGCTTCCAGGTATTATATATATTTTATTCGTTAATATTTTTATCATAAAAAAGATTAAACCAAGTTAAATTAACATATTGACTTCATGAATATATTGATGTGTTCTTTATAAATGCAATTTAATATAAGTTCATCTTCAAGAAAAATCTGTTTCATGTTACAATAACTTTATCGAAAACAGTTTCGTAAATGTTGCCATGTAGTTAATGAGTCAGACTTTTCATTTATTTTGTTGTTCCGTTCTAGTTTTTACAAGTATCAAAGGTTTTGTAATTTGTTTAAAATATTATTCATTAGTATACGATTACTTAAACAATTATTTACATTGTTAAAGTCGATTAAATATCCATTATCTATTCTATTTTTAAAAACTATTACAGTGTTATCGCATTTTTACTATTTGTACAGACACTTTTAACATACGTGCTATACTACGTTTCACGTTTAGAAAATAACATTGCGAAGATAGGCCCATGTATTTCTTATGGACGATAGCAACGCGGCGTTGCCATGACACACACAAGCACAATTTAGGGTTGTATAATTTGTATTTTCGTTTCCACAAACATGAATTAAATTAATGTTTTTTAACGTAATTGACCAAAAGTGCCCATTCGAAACAAGATGTGCAAAGTAGGGAAAATGATTTTAATTAGATAAATAGTATTTACAAAAGATAATTTTATTTTATCTTATTTTAATTATAGTAACGACAGTTTATTTGTTTTTCGGTGAGAATACGATATGTCATGAATCATATAAATCAGTAGAAAATATTGACCGCTTGGAATGTGTATATCTAATTACTAATTGCAACTTAAAATAATACGATGTGCGTATGTCAGCTATTTTATGTCTTCTCTGACTACATAATGATAATAAAGCTTTTATTTAGTAGTTATTCTGACTTTTACAGTTAAATGTTAATTGAAAATGAAAATTTAAAAATTAAGCAAAGGGAATATCTTGGACATCCGTGCAAAAGAGAGTGTTTGAGAGTTTTGGCAACACTGATCTCCATAAGCGTAATGTTATTTTCTTAACTTGAAACAAAGAATAGTAAAATTACATACCGGATGGTGAATCGTCAAACGGCTATAGGAAACTCAAAGGGAAATTTTAAATTGTTGAATTGCTGCTTCCTTAATTATTTTAGATCAAAAGTCATAAAAAACTATTTGTAGAGGACTAAAATCTGAATTATAAACAAATGTTAAAACCCTTCTAGGTAAAAATATAATACATTTTTCAGACCACCCCTAAAAGTTAGGCCACACGTAATGCAAGAATATATATTATTTGAATTGTCAATTTTTTATTTTATGATTAAATTATAAACAATGAATTTTATTAAATACTACTATTACTGAACAACAAATATTATTTTGTGAACAATAAATGATATTGTTTACAAATCGATCAATATAATGAAATGTACTCAGTTGACGAAAAATCGCATAATGTTGTATTCAGGCAATACCGCGAACCTTTTCCTGTCACTACCGGATCTTTGTTTAACGTAAGATATTCTAATACACTAAAATTTAATTCCATGTTAAGTTATACAATTCAATGAATTCCAATATACTGTTACTGTGATCTTTATTCCTAAAAATAATTTATGATAATTTCTAAACATAAAACTATAACAAATGTTATAATAAAACATGAATAAAACATTTTTATTATTGCTCTTTTCTCCTCAACTGAGTACATTTTTTAATCAACTTAATTTTTTTTAAACAATAAATCACAAAATTTTGGCCATTTAAATCATAGATAAATATATAGTTAATTTAAATATTGTCAAATATCAGAAACATCAATATGACAAAACGCAACACGTAATATACATTTTTTCACGGCGTCTGGCCTGACTTTTAGGGGTTGCCTGAAAAATGTATTATATTTTAGCAAAATTTTGGAATAAATTTAAATCGTAGAACAATTTTAACAGTTGTTTTCGATACATATCTAAATGCTTCAATTCTGTTCAGGCTTGATATTTTTAGTGTCCATATTTCATCATCATCATCATTATTTTGACTTTACAACCCTTTGTGGGTCCTAGCCTCTTTAAGAGTTTCTCCCCAGTCGTCCCTATACACCTCCATCAATCTCGTATATATTTATCATGTTTTCATCGATTCTCTGACCTATCGACCATGTCGTTTTTCTAGCTCACGTTCTATCTTAATATGTTTTACGACAGGGGTCACCAAATGGCGGACCGCGGTCCGCATCCAGACCGTGAGGTTTTTTTTTTTGGGGCCGCTGTTTTTTCCGAACGGATATCCGTTCTGCATATGGTGCCATACGATGACATAATACTGTGGAAAATATTTTATACGCTGCATTTAGAAGCATAATTCCTCTGTGGTTAGAGCATTTAATAATATCTCTTTTTTATGTATGTAGTATTCCACTCATTGGGGATTGATTTTTGTGTATATGTTTCTTTTATTTGCTATAATGCCATTATGATATCGTGGCCACCTTGTTTATACAGTTCAGCTGGAAGTTTATCTATTCTAGGTGATCGTTTTCTGTCTAGTTTTTTAACTGCATCTTTAATTTCAAAAATCGTTGGTGGTTTCTCTTCCCACTTGTCTGTTCCACTTACCTCATCTTTTCTTCTTCGTCATCTATATTAAGTGCCTGATTAGTATTCCACCCTCTATTCAATACATCTTTCCTTGTTGTTAATAGGTCATCATGTCTAGATCTAGTTCGCCTGTTATGACAGTTTCCAAATCGATATCTAAACTCCAAAACTTCTCAACTAAATATCTTCAAACTTTACAGTATGGACAAACAACTGTTTATAGCAGTAAATTGATGAAGAGTATCTATTTCTTTTGGTTAGTTATTAAGTCACAACTTTTCCATGCGATTTGAGTTGAAAATCACTGAATTTTAGTTTAAATAAATTATTTAAGGTTTGGGCTTAAACCCCCCCAGGGCACTATTCCGACACTGTTACTCACAAATTTTTTAAGGACTCAAAATGGAGGTAGCATAAAAAAATTTCGGTGTCCACCCAAAACCTCCCCCACGGGAAAATTTTGGGTGCGCCACTGTCTGGATGTGGGTTACGGCTATAGACTAAAAATTTGGTTTTGTTTGAGTTTATTTTAATGCAAATTTCCTCTCTTACGTCGTAAATACGATCAAGCAGAATTTGGAGCCCTTTAATATTTTCTGATGAAATTTCTGTATCGTCCGCATATCTAATTACATTAAGTAGTTCCCCAATTTTCCTTCCACATGGCTGTCTTCCAAATTTTTTTAATAATTGGTCTGAGTAAAGATTGAACAATATGAGAGACAAAATGCAATCTTGTCCGACTCCTCGTTGTATGGCGATTTCGTCTGTGTATTCTCCAATTTTTACAATAGCAGTTTGATTCCAGTGCAAATGTTTAACGACACTATTTGTCATATATTTGTATATTTTTTTTGCATCTGCATTAATTTTACATGCTGCACTTTATCGAATGTCTTTTCGAAGTCCACGAAACATTCAAATACATATTTTCCTTGATCACGGCATTTTAAAATAAAATAAAAGTACCTCCTTAGTTCTCATAGTTAAAACTAAATTGAGTATCTTCGAGATGTTCTTCTAGTCACTTTTTTGACGACATTTCGGAAGCTCTCACTTATACGTATATAATCTATTTGATTTCTCAAAGACCCAAGGTTACTGTTATCATCAAATGTGACTTTCCAAGTATATATCGTCGGCTGACGAGATACTCAACAGAGAAAGAACAGAGATTTTCAAGTTTTAAAGCATATTTTATTGTAAAAAATTCATTTTCGAGGCAATTTTATAACAGAAGGTAAAAACAGGGTATTTTCTATTATAATCTGTTATAAAATTGGTTCAAACATGGATTTTTTACAATAAAATATGCTTTAAAACTTGAATATCTCTGTTCTTTCAAAATTGCACTTGGTGAATTTTACTTGTCAGCCGACGATATTTTCTTACAAAATTCATACAATCTCTGCCCTCGATCATTAGGTTGTCCAAGATCATAAGTACCTACAGTTTGACCCCGTTGACCTTCACCAATTTTTCCCCAATCTACTGTAAGATGTCTAGGATTTGATCATAGAACTTTTCTACTTCATGGTCCTATTTCATATCTGTAATAAGGGGATATATTTCAAGCATATTGGTTTTGAATGGTTGAGGAATTATTTGGAGTAATATTATTCTATCCGAGGCTGATACAAATATACCTACACCATTTTTGTGATGCGAATCTTCTGTGCTGTTACCGGAATAATATAATACACTACCGTCCTTTTTACGAGTTCCTGACTGTGGCCATTTCAATTTGCTGATTCACTCTCCTGTCGATTCTAATGAGTCTTTAACGCAGTGGTTCCGCTTTGCCTTCTGCATTTCTATACCGTTGACTATTTGCTGATTTATACATTCGTAACTAAATTACGAAATTATGTTGTGCGTCAATATATCGTACTACGAAACATTGAAAGGATATATAATTAAAGTTGATCAATAAAAGTCAAAAATCGTACATTTTTTCTTCTAGAGCGAAGTTATAGTTTCACATGTGTATAATTTATACATGTCTAGAACCAAAAATACTAATGGCTATTTTTCTTTCTATTTAAGGTTCTCTGTGAACAACAATTCGACTGGGTACCATGTCACGGAAGCAACATTCCACCAGATGCAGTGGAAGGAGGTAGAACGTCAGATGGTGAACCTTTATACATTGGCAGAGCTTACCATGAAGGTTCCCAAACAGTAGGAAAGGTAAATTTGTTAGTTGATTACTCAAACTTAGGTTAATGATATAAACATAGTAGTTGATTTCACAATATGGATTTGTATTTTCGATATAAATGTTAGTGCAACTTTAATATGAATGTACAGACGCAGATTCAAATCGAAACCTTATTGCTATTGTACTAAATTAGCTAATAAACTATGCAAAGGTAAGTTATTTACCCTCTTTGTGATCCTGCAGTAATGTACAAACTTTTCCTTATTTTTAAAATAGCAACTGTTGCAACACTGACCTAACGGTTTATTCTTGTCAAGGTTTGAGCATTAAGAAAACATAGTTGCCAGACGCATTGTATAAAATTCTACTTTATAACAAGTTTCATTACAATTTGGACAGTCCACAACCATTGTTTTAGTTTTAACCAGTGAATCAGCCAAACTAAGATACAAGAATAAAAATTTTCAAGCAAACGAACAATTTAAAAAGATCTTGTGGGAAATTAGAAAATATTTATTAGTTTCTTTGACGCAAATCCAGTCGTCAGAGACAAAAATACCACTGAAAATTTTGCTGATAATATCAATTTTAAGACTCCAAAAAAAGTGCAAAAAAGCTTACACTTTTACCTCCAGGCTTCCCCCTAAAACGAAACTCAGACAAAATGTTGGAAAAACATTTTTTCATATATTATATAACGTTGGCTATTGAATAAACTTTCAGCATTGTACGTTCCATGGCTCGTTGTGTAATGCAATTTAATGCTGAATGTGAACCTTCGAGACCACATAACAAACCAACAAATTAGGCAAAGATCAGGAGTTCAAGACGTCATCGAAAGAACCACCACGCTTAAGTGGAACTAGGCAGGGCACTTAGCCAGAACACAAGATGGACGGTGGAGAAGACGTATTATGGAATGGAGGCCCAGAAAAATAAGTTAGAAAAAACGAATGAATCATATGAAGAATATAAAAGAATAAGAACTGAAACTCATCAAAACTATCGCAACCTATCAAATATGAAACTGGCATTAGACAACGAGATTCGCTGAGCCCATTAATATTTAATCTGGTAATGGATGAAATCATAAAGAAAGTTAAAAAAATAAGAGGATATAGAATGGGAGAAAAGGAAATAAGGATAATATGCTACGCCGACGACGCCATAATAACAGCCGAAAATAAAGATGACCTACAAAGATTAATTAAAGAATTCGAAGATACGGCACTCATATACAACATAGTGATCTCAACAGAGAAAACTAAAACGATAGTGATATCAGCGGAACCGAGGCGATTTAAACTAGTCGTAAATAACAAAATAATAGAACAAGTGATGGAAACTGAATACTTGGGAATAAAACTGTCAAGCTACGGAAAAGTGGAAGAAGAAATACAAAAACAAGTGAACATGGCAAACAGGGCAGCAGGCTGTCTCAACACAATCTGGAGAAACAAATAACTCACAACGGAAACAAAAACCAGGATATATAAATCAACAATAAGACCGATAATGACGTACACGGCGGACACAAGAGCAGATACGGCGAAAACACAAAGACTGCTGGAAACAACAGAAATAAAAGTCTTACGAAAAATAACAAACCAAATGCTACGAGACAGAGTAAGAAGTGAGGAAATACGAGGGAGATGTGGTATAGAGGAAATAAACGCTTGGACCAAAAGAACAAAAGTGGAATGGAATCAACACATCGAAAGAATGACAGAAAACAGAATAGTACGAATAGCAAGAGACAAATCGCCAAGATCATTGGGACGACCGAGGAAAAGATGGTCAGACAACGTCGAGGCTAAAAACCGAAGTAAAACAAGCATTAAGCCTATTTATAAAGTAGGAAGAAGACGAAGAATAGGCCCAAAAACTATAAAAGAAGCCGAGGACGAGCACCTACTAGATGGACCGATGATATAAAACATGTAGCGAAAAACTAAAATCAACCTGCTAGTTTTCACAATCATAAACGTGTCAGGGTGACACGTTTATCACGTTCCACTATTAAAGCTTCCCCTGTTCCAGCGTTCCCATACATCAAGGCTTATTCGACTCAACACCGTTAAGCTATGAACACATTTTCAACTTGCTATTAATAAACTTTTTTTATTAGGCGGGATCCAGCACTATACGATTTTGGTCAACATTGAGATTTGGGACAAATTTTACGGCTGAACTTGCCTTCCTGATCAGTTTTTATCTTCATTAAAAAATTATTTTCTTTGGAATAGTGCAATTAAATTTTTCACGGCCCCAGAATATTGATCGTCAAAATGTTCAATGGCATATGTTCATAAATCTGATTACTTTTTAACCCCTTCGTAGACAAGTATTTGATAGTGGACAGTATTTTCTGAAATTTCATTGCACAACTAATAAAAGCAACAGAAAATGGTAAATTTGATTGGACTTTTGATGTGAAACTCTACACTGACACTTTTAATGATAAGTTCTTTTAATTAATCCCCTTTCAATGTTGCTATTCTTTTTATAGTATCAAACTCTCTTGATGTTCTATTTCTATCTCCATTGAGTATCTCATATTTTAAGATCTTATCTCATAAAAAGTCTTCAAATGAGTTTCCAGTCGACATATGAGACGAAAACCTAAACTAAAATCACAGAACTATTCTGATTGACGGACGTATGCTTTATAAATATAATTAACTATACATAGGTAACAAAGGTGTAGATAGAAATGCAAAACTAAAGTTTTTGTTTCGTTTTAGGTTCACCCAAGTCACGGTGTGTGCTACGTACCATTCAACGGAGGCGAACACAGCCATTCTAGTTACGAAATTTTGGTCCTTAGGCATTAAATATTTATTTTTTAAGTTATTTATTTTTAAATAAAACTTTTACACCCACCAACAATTTTGTGCATTTCTTGCTTTTTTAATATAAAATCATAAACGAATGTAATTTGTGTTTTCTTTTTCTTTCTATATAAATCCCAAGTTTAACATATAAAAGTGCAGCTTAAGAGCTGTGCGTAACAGGTAAAAATGAGGATTTGTTATATTTTTGTAGTTCTAATTTATTGTCTTTATTCTAATTTATTAAAACTCACGGTAATTTATTATCAATTTATTAAATAACTGTACAACTATTTATTACGTTCGTACATTTAAATACGCGAGCCCCGAATTTATCTTCTTACTAACTGCTCAATAAAATCCATGGTATTTATATATATATATATATATATATATATATATATATATATATATATAATATATATATATATATATATATATATATAAAATGCCGTTATCTCGAAAAGTCTGGGGATGCACCGATGACGTTACATCCAGTAGGTGACTACTCATCCAGCAGTTCTCGAAAAGTCAATCGCATTCTGGTAAATTCAGAGAGTCGTCGCCGACGGCATTCTCAGTAACTGAACTGGTTATCTGACCCTTTGGTAGAATTCGGTAATATCTGACCTAGAACATTCGTGAATGAGTAAATATATGTACAGTTTTTATACGTCGTAATATTTAAAATCGTAACAGATTCAAAATTATAATACTGTTCTGAGTTTAGAGGTTAAGTGTAGCACAACGTGATTTAACTAACTTTATTTAACTCAAAAACTCACTTAGTTACATTAGTCAAGATTACTTAACTATAAGATTGTTTACAATATTAGTTAAAATTTAATGCAGGCCATTTACGTTCCGACTTGTGGTACGACTAGTGGTCCAACTTCTGCAGTTGGATCTGAAATCGGACCGTGAGTGGGCTAGTTGGATTAGTGGGACAACTAGTGGTACGACTAGTGGGACGACTTGAAGATCCGACTTCCGACTGGCGACGAAGTCGGAGCGTGAATGGTGAAGTTGGACGTCGCGCGTCGGATCACAGGTTGGATCGAAAATTTCCTCAGTCAGTTGACTTTCGGCACCTGTTACGTATGAGATTTCTATGAAATACTTTACGCAAAGATCTCTAGTTCGCGAATATTTAATAGAAAATAAACTTTCAATTGCACGAAAATTACCTTTTTGTTAGGGCAAATCATTTTCCTTTCTGTAGATTTATTTCGGACATTCCTATACAGGTAAATTTCCGATACTCCAGATTGGCTACGGAAGAATTATCAACAAACAATGAAAATTAAATCATAGTTGTAGCAAAAGATCCCTAGTTCGCAAAAAAATAATAGAAAATAACTTTCAATTGCACGAAAAATTATTCCTATTAAAAATATACGACACACACACACAACAAAATAAATCCCAGCTCCAGTTTAAAACAAATAAAATATAGATTTTATACCTATACAAATCTTTAAAAACTATAATTTTTTACTACATCTTAAAAAGTCATAAAAATCAAGAGTTGAAAAAATTAATTAGTTCAGCCATAGACAAATAACTAGAGAAACGAAACCTAATTTTTAAAAATACATATCATATTATTATATTTTGCGTAGTGTTTATTCGATTTTGCGTAGTGTAGATTTTTTGGTTAAGCGATGTACACCATCGTGAAAACAACCTAGCACTTAAGTTGGACCGCTAGTTGGATAGAAAGTCGGAGCGTGAGTGGAGACGAACATCCAACTAGTAGTCCTACTAAGTGGGACCACAAATCGGAACGTGAATGGCCTGTCTTACAACTTTAGGTAAAAACAAAGGTAATATATGGCTTTCATGCCAGTGTTTCGGTATTTCTTCTCTTTCCCAAACTTCTCTTATCTTCTTCTTCTTCTTCAAGTTCCACTCCTATCGGAGATTGGAAATCATTCTAGCAATTATAATTTTGTTGGTTACGCGCCTGAACAGTTCAATTGAACTGCATCCAAACCATTCACGGAGATTGCGTAGCCACGAGATTTTACGTCTTCCTACGCTTCTTCTGCCTTTTTTACCCTGCATTAGATTTCTTAGTAGTTCGTATTTTTCACCACTCATGATATACCCCAAGTATTTCAATTTTCTGATTTTTATGGAATTTAAAACTTGGCATTGTTTTCCAAATTGTTCGAGAACTTGTTCGTTTATTTTGCGATCCGTCCATGATATTTTCAAAATACGTCCGTAACATCACATGAATGCTTTTAGGTTTTTAATTTTGGATTTTTTAAGTGTCCAAGCTTCAACCCCATACAAAAGGGTAAAGAAAATATAACATCGAAGCATTCTTATCCGGAGCGATATATTGATATCGCGATTACAAAAAAGTTTTCTCATTCTATTAAAAGTTGACCGTGCAATTTCAATGCGGCATCTTATTTCTTTTGTCTGATCAGTATCTTCTGTGATCCATGCTCCAAGGTATTTGTACGAAGATATTTGTTCAATTTCTGTATTATCTAGTACTAGCTTAACTTTGATGTTTTGTGCTTTTGTAAATACTATGAACTTGGTTTTCTTCAAATTTATTTTTAGTCCATAATCGTTGCAATATATATTTAGTTGTTGAGCAAGGTGTTGCAGTTCTTCTAGTGTTCCTGCCAGAAGGACGGTGTCGTCAGCATATCTTATGTTATTAAGTGGCTCACCGTTTATTATAAGGCCCTCACTGATCTCGGCAAGCGCTAATTTTGAGATGGCTTCACTGTATAAATTAAATAACTTCTTCTTTTTCATGTACCATGTCCTTTCAGAACGTTGGTTACCATCATAGCTATTTTAATTTTATCCACTGCCACCCGAAATAGCATGCTTGTATCTACACCACACCAATCTCGCAAGTTCTTCAACCATGAGGTTCTTCTTCGTCCTGGACTGCGTTTGCCTGCTATTTTTTCTTGCATGATATTTTGTAGCAATCTATATTTGGGACCTCTCATTACATGTCCGAAATATTCCAGCTTTCTCTGCTTGATGCTTTTTATGATCTCAGTAGTCTTGCTGAGACGTTCTAGTAATGTGGAGTTACGAATCTTCTCCACCCAGGAAACTTTTAAAATTCTTCTATAGCACCACATTTCGAAAGCCTCAAGGCGATTTAGATCGATTTTATTCACAGTCCAGGACTCGACAGCATAAAGTAAGACCGAGAACACGTAGCAGCGAAGTAGGCGGATCCTTAATGCCAATTTTAGGTCTCTGTTACATAACACCTTGGACATCCTTCTAAAAGCAGCTCTAGCCTGCTCTATTCTGGATCTAATTTCGCCGTGATTTTCTGCATTACAATTTAATTGCTGTCCAAGGTAGACGATTTTATCAACTTGCTCAAGTTTGGTATTATTTACATATATAGACGGTTTTATATTCTGTAATAACGGAATTAAATAACAAGGGTAATCAAATACACCCTTGGCGGACCCCAAGGCGAATCTTGATATCCTCGGTCAGTTCGTTTTCAACTTTCACTTTTGCTGTTTGATTCCAATAGAGGTTACATATGATTCTAATGTCTCTAGTGTCTATGTTTTTATTTAATAAAATTTCTTTAAGCCGATTATGCTGCACTCTGTCTAATGCCTTCTCAAAATCAATAAAACAGGCATATACTTCCTGATTAATATCTAAGCATCTCTGTGAAAGAACATTTACTGTTTTTTAAGGACGAAATTGCGGACTTTACTTCAGCTAATGTGGGGCCTAGTATTTCAGGTTCGACTAACTGGTATTGTCTTTGTTGCCCTGTCGTTGTGGGTGTTTCTGTATTTAAGAGTTGCTCAAAATTCTTTCTCCATTGGGGACTTATCTCCTCGTCGTCTGCGAGCAATTGTCCTGCATCGTCTTTTATAAATCTTGGGCTGTTGGCCGTGTTGCCTTTTGTTGTTTTTTGGTCCTTATAAAACTGTCTAGACTGACCGGTTCTATGTTCCTCCTCCAGTTGTTGTATTCTCGCTTCTAGGTACTGTAATGTAACTGTTTTGCCTAGAAGATTTATCGACGGAATGCTTTCTGCGAAAAAAATTCACTCACCTCTATGCCCTTCGGCCACGTCTGTGGTTGAAAAAGAATATCCTTCAATTCTGCATCTGCCGTAATTCTGAAGCAATTGGATCCGTTTCGTTGATTGTTATGTTGATCTGAACCAAATTTTTCACTTATGTTTCATATAATTATAATTATTTGTAATTTTTTATGGACAAAGAATCCAAAACCATTTACTGGTGTATCTTCACTTTTACATTTTAGAAGATTTGGAGTTATTATATTCAAAAATTTAATTAAAAATCCTTTGTAAAAGGTATATATTTAAGAACCCAAACGGGCTAAGTTAAACAGACAAAACGTTTTCGGAATCCGTATTTCATCATCAGTGTCTAGGAGTACCTGAATGTAGGCACTAAATATATGGGTAAAAACCCGGTAACAAATAATTGATTACATTTAGTTTACAAAATTTCTTATAATGATTTAAGATGTTAAAGTTACCGTTGGATTAGGTAACATGGCGACATATGACTCCACGTTGAAGTTGCTAGTCCTGAGACGGTGTGTCTACGAGGACTGTATATGAGCAACTGAGTTGCTCAGTTACAGTCTTTAAAAAATTAATTGAAGAGTTTCAAACCAGGCAAATTAAGAGTATCGCTAAGGCTACCACTAATATTATACAGTTGACTGATGGAACTGAAAGGAGATCGTATTTTGGATTGCAAGACTTTACAAAATGAGCAAGATAAAGAAATAGGTCAAAATGGACTCGGCATTGCTAAGGGGAGTTTTGTTTAATAGGTACTTGTATTGGACGTATGTCAACGGTTATATTATATTATAATATAGATAATTTAATCCAAGAATCCCATTTACTTTATTTTAATACTGGCTTTGATTTTACCTTTAGACTCTTGAAATTAATTAAGTTCTTTACTGATGGTGTTCTGCGAAAGATTTTTAAATCCTTCTTATAAGTTTTTTTTACTGCTAGTTTGCAATAGATAGATAGGTTCCACCATGGTACGGATTTTTTCAAAAGGTTGATAGTGTATGTTTCAATGTGTTCGAACT